GAATGCGATGTATTTCTCCAAACATTTGTCCAGTTTATAGATGACTCAGAGCAGTCTTTGTTCCATTTTGATACAATTGCTAAGGGAGTTTGTATTTTTTCCAATATGGTATTATAAATCAGTGAGACATGGCCTTTAGGTAGAGTAAAAGTTTCTTAATACATATCATGACTGGATGAACAACTGGTGGCTGGTCAACTTGAATATTAACAGCACGTATGGCAGAACGTAGTTGTAAAAACAAAAAGAAAGTATTGGTTGATCATTTATATGTTTCTTTTAAATCCTGAAAGTTTCTTAATCCAGACGTACCCATGATGTCACCCACACAATGTATTCCTGACTCAGAGCACTGATTTAAAAAAAAATGTGATCCTCCAGACCTCAGAGAGCTGTTATAGAATAATGGTGTGCTGGCATGCCATTTAGTTTTCCACTTACATAACTTTTCAATTTTTCTCAGATTTTCAATTGCATAACTTATTATTTCACCATACTTACTTTTGCATTTACTAATTGAGAGCTGATTAAACAAAATGTCTCTCAACGCAGCTGGAGCTACCAGGTCCCTCTCAATTTTGATCCATGGTATATAGAAATATTGTCATTAAACCAATTTATAATGGGATGAAGGGAGAGTGCCTGAAAATACAATTTAAAGTTAGGGACTCCTAACTCCTTCTTTCTTTGTAAATTTTTATTTTAGGACGTCATCCTTTCCGTAAGAATCTTGTGATGATGCTGTGTATTTTATCCGAATACTTTGGAGGAGGTGCTAGGGGTAACATGTAACTACAGAAATTTGACCTAGGAAGTACATTCATTTTAATTATTGAGATTCTGCCGGAGAGAAAAATAGGTAAGTTATGCCATCTCTCCATATCATTTTTAAGCATGTTCCGAGTGCTGGCATAATTCTTATAAACAGTTTTTTTAAGGCATGGAAATATGTTTATTCCTAAGTATTTAAACTAAGAGACCACTGGTATATTGAAATGTGCGCATTCGTCTCTACTAGCTTGATTCATAGGTAGAAGCGCAGACTTGGTCCAGTTTATAGTATAGGTGGAAGTGAATTCTTTATATCAGAGAAAAATAAGAGGATGTCATCAGCAAAGAGTAATATATGATGCTTGGTAGATTTAAGTATTATTGGTGTGATGTTTTGTGATGTCCTAATAGACCAGTGGCCAGTGGCTCAAGTGACAAAATAAACAACATTGAAGAGACTGGATCACCTTGACGACTGCTTCGACTTATTTTGAAGGGAGAAGAACAAATATTGCCAGTGACTACACTTGCAGAGGGGTTTGCATATATTGTTTTAACCATGTTGATAAAATTAAAAATCAAAACCCATATGATTTAGTACACACCATAAAAAGGGCCATTCAAGACGGTCAAAAGCTTTTTCTGCATCGACTGACAGTATGGCTGAAGATAAAAGATGATCAGAATGCTCTAGAATATGTAATAGACGCCGTAAGCTGTCAGCCGATAGATGCTTTTTGACGAATCCGTTTTGGTCAGGATGTATCAATTTAGGCAAGTATTTCTCAAGACGAGTTGAGAGCACCTTAGAAAATAGTTTCACATCTGCATTTAATAAAGACAAAGGGCGGTAGCTGGCACAGTTACTGGCATCCTTGTCTTTTTTTAAGAGTAGTGTAACTAAGGCTGTATTTACATCTCTTCCAAAAGATCCTTTCTGAATCAAAGTTTTAAACATTTCAAGCAGTAGGGGACCTAAGATACTCCAGAATTTCAACTATACCTCAGGATGAATGCCATCAATTCCTGGTGATCCCTTCTTTCTCATTGCACCTTGTATGAATCAAACTGACAAATGAACCCAAGACCTTGTTTGATTTAGTATAACGCCGTTGATGAACAGACAGGACAATAGGCAAATGGGCTCTTGTCCAAAATCTTGCCTGAGGCCCAGATTACAGTACACCAGGCAAAACTGGCAGGCTAAAAAAATTATGCAATTTCTTTCTCTGATATTTTCACTAAAATCATTTCGATGTTTGCTGAAGCAGCAACCGATTTGACATATTGTGGACTGACAGCCTTACTTCAAAGACAAGAAAAGCACTCTGGGAAAGTAGGCAACATCCTGAGTATGAGTAAGTGAGCAGCACAATGTTTGCAGACAAACCCAAACCTGCTGAGATGCCGTGTCACTTCATGACAAGTTGCACTCTCTTAGCAAAGTTGAAACCCTCCTGCTAAATTCGGAATAAAAGCTGTTTGAATTGCTGGGAATTAAAAAAAATATATACAAAAAAAAGTTACAGTGAAAGGCAGAGAGAAGTCCTTTTATGATGGAGGCAACTCCCTATGACATGTGACCACCAGTGTGTGTGCCATGAATAAATCATCCCAAACCCGGGCAGAGGGAGTAAACAGTTGTGTGTCTTCACCTCAGATGCCTGGAGAGGCCTGTCAGACACAGCAGTTAACAAAGCCTTCCTCCTCATCATCATGCAGGACCATGTTGCAGCAGATCCAGTCCAAAGTCCAAAACCTGACACGATTACCCAACCCCCCCCCCCACATCTTCTCCTCCCCCTAAGAGAGCAAGATCTCTGTGTTTCTCCAGAGGCGACTTAAAGTGAAGTTGAAGCGAGAATGGTTGCAAGGCTTCTAATGTTTCCCCAGAGTCTCCGCTTCACTCAGTTGTATTTAAAGATCGCCTGGATTGTCTTTGTAAATTAGGCTACCAGAGCTCTGGGATTAGCTGCCAATTTGTACTCCACTGTGGAAAGAAACTCTTAGAGACCTCCGTGATTTTATCTATTAACACAACTTCAAGCATGATCAGGCTCTTGTGGAGTGCGTCGCTAGCTCCGAGCTATGATATGACTCAGACTCTGTATGCAAGGAACAATTGACAGCAGGAAAGCACATTTTAACATCATTCATAAAAGAATATTCAAGGAGATTTTATTTTTTAGAATATAGTTTATTTATAATTTATTATTGGCAGATACAAAAAAACTCTTGAACTGTATCCAAAGTGTGCAATAAAATCACTGTTGATTTTTTTCCCAAAAGAAAAAAATACAAAAAGACCATCTACTTTGGAAAGTTGACAACCAATGTAAACTGGAGTGAACCGGTTATTCTACTGAGGGTTTACTAATAGCTTCTAATGCTCTTTTAACCGACTACGGTTGTTAACAAATTGCAAAAATCTGCTTTGCTCTCCCAAGATGATAACCAAAGCCATTATGTGTACATACATCTGCATTGGTGACATTCTAGTTCCCCATTGTTAAATACAAGAAAGGCAATCATATCCATGAGCAGCACAAATGTGTAAAACACATTAAAATGAAATAAAAAAAGAGAGATTCAAAATGGTACCAAGATGTTCATGTGAGAGAGGGGAAACAAGGAGGGGGAAAAAAGGGGGGAGGGGCATTTCCAGACATAATGTAAACAATCACCTTCACTCACCGAGATGCACAAAAAGACCATGTTAGAGCTTGTTAAGTGCTTAACAGCTGTTAATGCAAAACGCTTCAGCAGTCCCAACAAGCTTCAACCTCTGGAATCAAACATTGAAAGCAATAATGCTAAATAATAAACTAAATGAGTATTTAGAAACATCCTAGCAGCAACACCATATGAAACTGGTTCCTGCTTGTCAAATTAGGACGACAAATGGCAAACTAAAATGCAAATACAGTTGTATTAAATCAGACTATAATTTTACTTTCACATTTCAACTGAAAAGCATACACACACACACACACACACACACACACCCAAAAGTAAATTCATATCCACATTCTTGACATGATCCCATTCCTTGACAGCCGAGAGCATAAACAGAGGCTTTGATATTTGATGCTGGTGCCTTACCCTTTATATCCCACAGATATGACACAAACAATACCAGTTAATCGAAACAGCTGAATGAACACATAAGGACGAATGTGTGACTCTATTTGTTTTCTTCTTTTTTTTTAAAGGCCATCTGAAGGACAACTCTAGGCTGGAGAAGATCCAAGCATGTCAAATGATGAGAATATTCAAGTGCAAAAAGGTGTCAATGTATTTTTTTTAGATAATTCTCATGCTTTCTGAAACTGTTCTTCAGGCAGATAAAATGGAAACCTCAAACAAGCGTACATTCCTTTTTGTACAGCCCCATTCCCCAGATGGAAAATGTCACAAAGAAACAAACTCACATCAGGATTTTAAAAGGAAAAAATACATCTCTTGAAACAGAATGTCCAGCCAATGTTTTGTGACAGAAAAAAAACATCCCTCTACACAGCCAAACACACACAACCTAGATCCTTCATTCCTATACAACTCAAAGCTTTTTAAATGCTAAGTCTTTAAACATGCAACACCGTTCAAAGTTCCTATCTAATTTTTTGCTGTGCTAGATTCATGGTAACTTCCTCAGACGCAGACACATCCTGCTCACTAAAACTAGAACTATTCGCTAACAACCTACCAAACTTGTCTGAGAGCCCATTTCCCAAATACTTTTAAGGACACTGATGTCAAAAAAGATGCTCATTCATAAGGTGAAAAACACAATTCCCTGTCATTGTATCCATATAAAGCACTTGCGTAGCATACTGTGTGCTCTTCCCTTTACTCTGGCACATACAGCCATGTCGAGACAATCTGAGGGGCAGTGCAGCTCTGTGGGGACAGTGTGATAAGCAATGGTAAAAAAAACAAAACTGTATGCTTTTATGTTTCTTAAAATGTCCTTGAAACCCATGACACTGATAATGCAGCCGTGCAGCAGCTGTGACGGAACTTTTTGTCATATCCTGAAACCCTGGCGTCACTCCAATATGGCAAAGAGGACTTAACCCTGGCTTTGCCCAAGTCCTTTTACCAAAGCTCACACCATTTTTGGGATTCTTTGATCTGACTCCAGCTCATTGCTAGCATTAATAGACTAGACATCAGCCACTTTTACAGATATAAATAGGAATCAATTGACTTGAGTTCTGTTTTTTTTAGTAAGGTTAATTTTCTTTTGTTATAAACTGCCTAAGGTAAATGCAATTGTGCATTAAACAGCCTTTTACTCAGTTGCGCTTGAACAACACAGCCAAAATCGTTCAATCTTCTTACAGTGACATCTTCTCTCATCAAGAGTAACTCTACAGTGCCTTTAAATGACAGTCTTAAAGCCTTTACTACATGCAGATACAAGCATTACAGATAGTGACAACGTTGTTAGGCCTGAGCTGCAGTGCAGTTTTTGTAACATTCCTAATGCAGAAAGATTTTACATATTCCAAAGAGGTGTATACATCAATGTGATGCTGTTTCAACAAACAGCACATTAAAATCCAGCATTGTAAGTACCTATAGGCTTGCATGATATATAATGGCTACGTGCAGCCACATATTTTAAGGCTATTCTTCTACCTCTGACCAAAGCGTCCAAACCTTCTCACAAACTGGCACATTTTGAACATCTTTTGCAACAAAGTGTTGTTAATGTTTTGGATTTGGAAAACCCTCAAAACTTCAAGAGAAAGATTTGTAAGAAAATAGACCTGAATGTTAAAATCAAAACTAACTGGCCCAATCTACATCACATTCATTTTTAACTGTTATTTGGTTGATGTCAAGGCATGAGCAAATAATCCTTGAGGAAGATCCTGTATGCCAATTAGTGGAAAATTTTGTTAACATGAAAAACACGAGTTACCGATCACTACTTGTTATACGATGAAACCTAGCCTTGCTATTAATATATCTTATGATTGCATAGTATAAATTCAGAATGAAGTTCTCGCTTGCGATCTGATCGTTCTTAAAAAGATGGTTAAAACGCACAATTTGACAAGTAATAAGAGCAAAAGATGATCAAAATTGGTCAGTCAGTCTGCAGAATTCTGGAAATCAGATATAAATACTTCATTGCATCAATACTTCTCAAAACTTAAACCTCATCTTTGAAACATTTAATGAATTTAGTGGATACAAATTCAATGGAATTTTAAATTAAGAGTAGAATTTAGATTTTTTTCAGGCCCAAAATTGAGTTTTTTATCATTAAATCTGCTCTTATTGCAGACCTGGATGTTTACATTTCACCATACATCACAAACCAATTCTAAATTCTGAACGTGATGTATGCTACACTAACTTGGCTGTATACGTCTGCTTTGTTTTTGCAGAAGCTATGTACTGGACAATGTTTCTGGAAGTGGAGCCTACTATAATCATCGAGCAAAAAAAACCAAAACACCCAGATCAGTGGAATGGAGGACTGAACAGTGACAGAGTCACCTGGACACAAATCAAGAGCCACCGGAAGCTAACATCTCCAAACTGTGGTTATCTGTAAACCTTGTTTAAATCTCTTAACTGAACACAAAAGTGCAAATTGCTACCACTGCCTTATCTCTGGGTCCTCAGTAGTGCTTCTCCTGCAGATAATCTTTCATCTTGTTAGGCAAGGGCAGTTTCTGGATCAGGTCTATCCTTGTGTATTGTCTGATGACAAAGCGACAAAGGTACTGCAGGGAGCGCACTTGCATAAACCGAGACACTGGGTTGGTTAGTCTGACAGGATAAGTTGCAGACCCTGGTAACCGAGACCTGGAATAGCAAAAAGCTCCATTCTCGGAGTCTTTGATAGAATGTTCGATTAAGTCGACGATGGATGTGTGCCCCTCCACGTCAGGCTGCTCATAGAAGCTGAAGCGTCCGTTGGAGTGTTCAATGCGGGTGTGCAGGGTTTTGTTCTGTGACCTGAAACTCAGACTGAGCAGGTACCTGTCATCTGAGCTGTCTCTCACGAGGAATGAGCCGTCCGCCAAGTTGACCAGCTTCTCCTCCGCCTCCCAGCGTGTGATGGGGCCCCAGTACCAGCCCTGCCTCGCCAGCTTCTTCAGCTCCTCCGTCAGACTCGTAACAACCATGGGCCCACTGCTCTGGACAGAGTCGTACACTCGACTAACCCCAGGAGCTGAATTTGGGTCAAAGTTGAGGTGGTGTCTTACTCTCTCGGCTACCTGGCTGTCTGAAGAACTGAACCCTGAAAAAGTCCTGGGAATTAGTAACGAATTACCGTTACTTGTTATGGGCGGCAGGAGAGGAGAGAGCGGAGGTGGGACCTCTACTCTCGAGCTTTGGAGCATCAGACCAGCGGAACCGATGAGAAGACTATTAACTGAGGTTTCCATGAAGAGATCTGGAGGCAGCCCACTAACCAGTTCATGCTCCTCCTGTCCCTGGTCAGTGTGAAGGGATGCATTGTCTGCTTCTGTACCCACCTCCATGGGAGAGGAGCTGTCCAAGCAGCAGGAGTGGGACCCTTCTGGATACATTCCCTCATCTAAAGGCATTGTGTACTGGATGTAGTCCTGGGGAGTCAACCCCAGCACGTCAGGCACATCATTTTCATCTATATTTAGATGCAGCTCACCGTTCTGTGGCTGCTGGAGATTCTTTAAGGATTCTGCTTGGTCTTGAAAGAGCCCTTCCATCTGGAAATCATGAAATTCTTTCCGGACACCGTTTAAGTTGGGACTGGGGCTCGGGGAGTGAACCATGGCTTTAACTTTTACTTCCATCTTGATGCATGCTTCATCAGAGTTAACGGGACGAAGAGGCCATGGCGAGGGGCTGTAATGGTGACTACGTAGGGATGACGATCTAAGGGGTCTCTGGGCTTTCACCTCATTGAAGGTGATGGGCACAGACGAGGATGAGAAGGTGTCATCATCATCCGCTGAGCCTATGGCCGAAGAGCTGCCTTTCACTTTTGCCTTCTGCTTGGCAGACAGCCTCCTCTTCAGTGACCCCATCAGGCCCTCACTCTTTGAGCGCCCCTTATTCTGGCCCCCTTTGTCCTCCTCGCCACCGATGTCACAGCCGGAAAGCTCTTTGGTGTAGCAGCCCCCAAAAAGTGACTCGTCCTTCGAAAACTCAGTCGTCACTGAGGGCTGCTGGAGCATGACAAAGTCACCCTCCTCTTTGCCCTTTATGCTGAGGGACTTGCGGATGGTCTTAAGGCTTATCTTCTTCATTCTGACAGGCCCTCCAAAGTGGGGGCATGGGATGCCTTCCCAGGTATCCCGATGAAAGTACTATCCACAGTGTCCTCCCATCAGGCCACACCAAACAAGTCATGCAAACAGTGGAGCCATCATACCCTGTGGAGAGAGAAACAAACATGATTATAGATAATCCATTTATACCTGATAGTATTGGGTTATTAATAGGGAAAATTATTGATGCAAAATCCAGGGTAACACACAGCGCATAGAAAAAAAATAATTTAATAACAGCAGAGCAGATTGCAGCAAACTAGCCCAGTCCCCAGGTAGTAAGATGGTGAACATAGGCTCTGAATCTGATGTGCTCCATGTAACAATTACTTTCGCAATTAACCATTACTCAAATTTTTGAAATGACAAGAAGAGAAAGTCATAATTTCCCGAAGTATAATATAATTCAAATGCCTTCTCTTCTCTGGTCAAAAAAAAAAAAAAAAAAAAAAAACAGCCCCAACCCCCTTTTATTTAAATCAACAATGAACAAAAGGATTAATCACTTATTGTAACACTTATTGTTCATAACACAACTGAGTTAAAAAAAAAAAAAAAAAATGTAAGAGCTGACTTAAAGGTTTAATGGGACGGTATTGACAGGTATAAAATGCAAGGCACATCTATTCATTTAAAAATTAACATGAATAAGCAAAATCAAAAAGGTCCATATTTGAATCAAATCCTGTGTTTCACCTGCTGCTTGAGGCCGCTGATCCACAAATATAGATAGACGATTAATATCTTCATGTGTCATGCACAGCTGTCACTGGTTTGATGTGAGCTCAGCAGCACTGCCCTATTGCATTTTTTTTTTTTTTACTTAGTACGGACCATGTTTATATGTATATATATGTATAAAGAAAGGGGTACAGTACCTACGCTTCCTGAAAACAGACTTGAGCATCTTCAGGCTGCCTTACAACTTCACACAAGCACTTTAACGTGACACTATTAATTTTAACTGCAATGTGCGACCTTTAAATCCAGCGCCAAGTCACAGAACATGTGCCTGTGTGCCAATGTTCAGCGACCACACTTGCATATCATGAACAAGCTAATACCAACCATTGCCAGTCATCAGTGATTATGCAGCTATGGCAAGAAATACAACTTAAGGCAGTATCTTGTGTGTGCCACTTAAAGCACCTAAAATCCAGCTGCATGTTAATCAAGACAGCTGCTCTCTTGATTACTCACCATTATGTGCAGGAAAATGGTGACTCAGTTGGATGGGTCAAGTTCCTCTTCCACCACTTTTCATTTGATGCTATGGAGGAGAAAAAAACAAGAAAAGAAAAAGAAAGCTCGTTTGAAGAGTTCAGAACTTTCATTGAATATATGACAATAAATGGGAACACCACACAACGACACATTTAACAACCCTGATAAGAAACAGTGTTTATAAATAATGCAACGTTAGCAGGGCCTCCGGACACAGCGGCATGCCTTTAGCTTAGCTTCTCACCTTATTGACTAAATTGACTATTACACTTACTTCAACTACAGGTTTTATGACTGAATATAAAAACAAAGACCACAAAATACAGTTTAAGTCTGTTGTTTAAGCCGTCAAATTACCACTTCAGCAGTCATTGTCTTGCTTGAATGACAACATTAAATAACCACTTAGTATGTTAGCATTCCTACTTTCAAAGTCAATATACAATGTTTTCACATTTTTTTTAAAAACATGCACCTTAAGCTGCCTCTTACCCGGTCGCTTCTTCTTGTCTCACAGGGTGAAATAGCCCAGAGATGTTGACATTTTGTCTTGTACAAAACGTTCATGCAAGGCTCTGCGATTGTTGGCTAACGTTAGCGTAGCTTACTACCTACAGCCACTCAGCTAGCTCTGGGAACGTTTTCTGTCCAAAAAAAAAAAAACATTGCAAATTACCTTCCCTTTCGTCAGCTTCCGTGCCCATACGAAAGCACAAAGGGTCTCTTACTATGGTTTTGACTCTTCTCTAAATGTGCGGGTTTATGTTGCCGACTAGAATGACACAATAAGGTGACATCTCTCTGCCCCAGGTTGGCTAACACTTTGTAGCTCACGGCCTTCTTCCTTTCTTCCTTTGTTGCCTGTTGAATTGTGGGAGCAGATTCAGACGCAGCGAATCAGACGCGCACATCAGCTACAGCAAGTTTGTGCATCCCAGAGGCAAAGCCAGACAAATCACAGGAGACATCCGGTGCACATTTGCACTCAAACAATTAAGAAAAAAAAAACAAATACTCTCAGACATATAAATGAATGGAAATTGTTTTGTTGTGGAAAATATCAGCTACCTGCAGTTAAAATGAATCATGCAATATTCATCCTAAAAGAATCCACCGCTAAATGCTGTTAAGAAAGAAAGAAAAATATTTGATCATATTTCCTGAAAGGTGGTTACAGTATTGCCACATGAAGAAAAAGGATGTGGTTGTGTGCAGTGGCTGGGTGGCTTTCATGCATGGAGGGAGGTGTTTCGAAAACACCAAACTAGAACTTTGTGAACTTCTGCATTAAAAATGAAGTTGCTGTTTTATTTAGTCTGACGAAATAAGATGAAGAAATACAGTCTAAACAAATCTCTTACTTGAAAATTAAGCATGCATAGGCTTTTTTTTTTAGTTAAGAAACGAAACTTTATAATACAGAAAAGAATGCATGGAGGCTATAGTCTTCCAAGCAGGTGGCCCAGGTTCGAGTCCAGCCTGTGACTCCTTTCCCTGGCATGTCATTTCCCACTCTATCTCCCTGATTTCTGACTCTATCCACTCTCCTATCTCTATATTAAAGGCACAAAAAGCCCCAAAAAATCTTTAAAAAAAAATAAATAAAAAAGAATACGACATTGTTAAAGTTAAAAAAAGGTGAAAGAGAAATTACTTTACAGGAAAAAAAAAACAGGGAGTAGTTTTTTCAGAAAGTTGCATATTCACTGATAGTGAACATAAAAGCAATAAGAACATAAACCAGCTCCCCGTGTCATATGAGATTATTTTATAGCAATCACAGATGACGTGCAAAAATGTGTGAAGATAACTTTGATGAGTTGATCTACTGTCACAATACAGTGGTTTCAAAATGCCTGATCCAAGCTATTTGGTCTTTTTTTTTTTATAAGAAGTAGCATAAGGAGATCTAGTGTGACACTTGTAGCATTGCTGAAAAGAAGTGATTTTACCTCCCAACTGTGTTCAATCAATTCTATGGAGTCCGATCTTTTATTCTCAGTGTAATTCTGAAAGATTTTTTTGAACATGCCTCTGAAACTGTAGATTTCAAATGATGTGTCTGTTTTGTTTACCCAACATTTGCATTCCTATACAGTTTAATTGCAGAATTCAACTTTCCCCAAGTGCAATAATCAGGTTTCTACGAACATCAGATGACTGGAGAAACATTAACTGCTGAGCCCCCCTCAAATATTGCTCAGCCTTTAAGCAGTAAAGTCTTTCTTATTTGTATTCCAAAAACATCAAGCTAGCTCTCCAAGTATTTTCATGCGTTTGATACAACAACTTAAACTCACACTTTAGAATGATACATTGGTTGCCTAATTAGTGTCAGTATTGTTTTAAAGAAGATTGTGTTTACCCCTGCCAGGCTAATTTGGTCCATATAACGAACATTACATTGTTTTTTCCACACTGTCAAGTGTATGGCAGGCCTTCGCCAACCTGCTTAGGGCAGCCGCATGCAGACAGGCTCTTGCAAAGACTCTAATTACCCGGCCCTATTAGGGTTGATCAGGCTGCCTTAGCTTGATGTGTTGGCACAGGAGGGGAGGGCTGTTGGAGGGGGGCAGCTCTAAGCTATAGCACCAAGGACACTGGGAAGCAAGGTTGCCATGTTCCACTTCAAGCTAATTTAGACCTGACAAACAAACTTTAGTGTAGTTGATATTTGCTGCCAGACAGCAAAAACAAGATTTCAGCTGTGGTTACAAAGTAGTCTGTTGTGTTATGACAGGATAAACAAATTAAACAGTTACTAATGGGAGGCTGTACAATTTCTTTTAGTTTCATTTGAATGAGGTATCTGCATGTTGTTTCCAAAACCAGAGAGCGAAACTTTTAAAAGACCGCTCTATCTAAATCAATAGTTCCAAAAGAATTTCATTATAAGCACAGCTAAAAACTTTGAATCTCGAGACAGGATGGGATATTACACACACGGAGTGGGCCAAACTGTTTAATGAGATACCTCTACGTGTGGGAAAGCTCCTTTCGTTTAATCTCAATTTCAAATGAACGCTGCATCAGCCATAAATTATTTGGACGCCATGCCTGCAATTGCTTCCATTTGGCATGGTCCTTAGCCTGGACAATGCTTCTCCATCTCCTTCAGCTGTACAAAAGTGAAGCCAAAATACCCCTCCAACGGGTGCTGACATCTTTCACTTATGATGTCACTTGGAGCCAGAGTCAGTGCAGTATAGGGATTGGGTGCATGAGCTGCAATATCCACGTCTCACCCCTTCAGCTAATCAAAATATAAACAATAAGGGCCTGTCCACAGACAGCGTTTTTTTTAGGGGAGATTTTTTGTGCTGGCAGCACCCACAACCTCAGTTTCAGAGAGTTTCACCTCTTATTGTTGCTAGGTTACAAAAGTTAACTTCTTTTTCCCTCTGTAATGACTTTTCGGTGTATTTTAAATAGCTCTGTGTGCTTAATATTTAATATTTACTTTGACAAAGATGTAAATTAATCCTGTCCCGGCATCAGTAGCAGCTTTTTCACACACAAAAATATGAGTCAGATTAGCGTCTCCTCCCCCTTTGTTGTTGACAAAGCTGATCTCAGAAGTCTCGCCCCTTCCTGATTTTGATTGATCAATAAGGGAGGGGTGAGAAAGTTGAACTGTTTTCAAGTGAGAGCACTGAGAGCACAGCGACAAAAAATTTCTTATGCTGAGGGCATTAAAAAAACGTTGAACTACATTTGATTTGTATTGTAAATGGGTGTGGCCAGCACAAAAATACTGTCTGTGAACACAGACCCTTAACTTACAGATAAAACAGCAAAGATTGCTCAGGTCCGCACAGTCCACAGCAGAACTGATCCTTGTGTTGCTACAGTAGGCAGAAACTCAAGTTCAATGACTCTTTGGTGTTTTCACTGTTTCCCCTCTCCATTCCTCCGTAAGTTGCATACAGCACCACAGGAGTTGAATTTGTCAACGGACCTGCTAATCATGGTATTTTGGTTTGTCTCTAGTAATATATATCTGAAATGCTGACATTAAGCATCATATGAATTTTACATTCCAGTCAAGGGATATACATTCAAAGATAACACAAAAATACAAAGGAACTAAATGTGCTGTAATGAAGTGGCACAAAATAGACTCGTAGTTTAGCAACTTAGTCTAATAAATCTCTTGATACAGAGGTTGTTCTGACAGTTCAGATTATGACTTTGTGATTACAATAGTTTGCGATTATGGTTTAGCACCTTGGGTGGCCACTCAGATTTTTGGGGTCCCAAGCCTTCCCTGGCCACCCACTTTATTTTTCCCCGCTGGTTATTTTGTGTGTTTTTCTTTACTCGTTTTGTAAATCAATGAGAGCCCCATTTCTGAGTCAGTTCATCTTTCAGTCTCTTATGTAAGACATCCAAAAATATAGAGCTTAATTACTGTTACCAGCGGCCCACACATCATGTACTATGACTCAAGCTATACAGACTGGAGCTCAGTACAAATGGATGCCTGCTTAAAACAATGAAATAATTGTCGATGCTTATGTATCAGTCAACACCATCCTTGAATTCACATCAATCATTCTTGAGGTAACCCCTTCTATTTTGTTGTTACTATGTGGGGTTCTGAGTTTTGAACATTTACAATAACTTTATGACGAAGTAGCTTAGCTGATCTTGTTTTTCACTTGAGGGCAAAAAGAAGTCTCTTTTTTGGCGATAGCTTCACACTGCACATATAGGTTCACTCTCGCTTCTACATCACATGTCCTTTAACATTCACTTTTGAAATCCTTATGTATATGCTGAAAGAGATGGAAGAAAATTACAAATAAAGGAGGTTGTAATAGGGAAAGGGTGAAGTACTTTCCCTATTCTGAAAAGACTGTTTGACTGTTTGGGAGAGAACAGAGTCCTTTAAATAAAACTCCCTCAAAAATAATATATTGCAGCTTTTGCTCATGAGAAGAATTTTTTTTTTTTTTGGACAATTTAAGGGCTTAATTTCAAAGGACGCTTATTTTTCACCTACTTAGCAGTTTAATTTATTTTTACCCCAGTTTTATTTTTCCTCATCTTCATCTACATCTCCCTCCTGCTCTTTTCTTAGTTGGCAAATAACGCAGATCCTCATTGTAGTTCTGACTGAACATTCTAACTTCCCTTTTTTTTAGTTTCTGAACATGGAGTGCTGGATTTTGAGGTACCACCCCAAGGACAGGGTCAAAAGAAATGATGAAAAAATGCTGAGGAGGGCCTTTGAAAAAAATAATATTCAGGGCCTGGGATACTTTCATTTCATTTGGCATGATTTCCTCTCTGAGATCAGGCTTACATTCACTAACAGCCTGAGGTGGTTTCTGGCATATGAGTAATTCAGCGTGATATAAAATAAATGACAGACTTTGCATATGCATAAAAAAATCCTTAGAATGAATAAGAAAAGACATGCAATTAAAAAAGGAATAAAGAACTAAACATACCGCCTAACAAAAGGTGTGCTCATGGAGCCACAAAGATGTGTACAGGGAATATGAATAAATGGATAATTGCAGTTTGTGGGACAGGAGGCAAAACTGACAAAAACATCTGAAAATACATGGGGGAAGAATATAGGCTTCCTCACGTGTGTTGGTCACAAATTCAGGTCTGAATGAAATACACCTTAGTGCATTTTGCCTTCATTAACTGGAAGTTCTTCCTTTCAACAGTCATAAGCTACTAGATGACCCCAGACACACAGTGGTTGTCAAACAGTGATGCTTTTCTGTTCACTGCAGACTCAATAGTTCCTGAGAACCTCTCGTCTGACCTATGGCAATGTATTTTTTCCACCAGAAGACATCCTTGGCTGTTTGGATGTGAAATCTCTCAGTGTTTTCATTGTATGTCTGCAGACTGTCAACCACATTCATAAAAACTCAGGCATGGATTCTATGGAAAACTTTAGACAACAAATGCTCCAGCTTGTTTACAATGCAGCTCAAGGTGCAAAGGTTACCGATAACAGCAAATATATCTCAACAAAGGGGATGACAGTATTATATATTTTTATATTCAATGTAAAGTGGTGCGGCCACAATATAATACAGCATTTTAGGTTTGATTATTTGGTTCAAAATTCTGTAAATTTGATGTTAAACTCTCTGGACAATTCATAGATACGAGTTACATTTGACTAAAGACTGAATAAAATTATTGAAGATGTAACATGAGAGCATTTAATAGTGGTTCAATAAATACCTAGGAGCCTACATGTGGAGACGTGAATCAGTGAAGGACTATGAAAGCATAAATTGTCATTTTCCTTCTACCCTCCTCAAAGTCTTCAAATAATCTAGGTGACAGTTGAAAATACTGTATGCCGCCAAATTAATTATAGGTTTAAATCTCTGCGGATTTCTCAAAAGCTTTGTGATTATATTATTATCATAACACATTATCGTTTGCTAAGTTTGTTAATTATCACCCTGTCTGCTGATCATATCCACATGAAATCCCAAGTGTGCGGTTGCATGCAATTGGATTAACTCACGCACGGAATATGACAGGAATTTATGCTTGCACTTGTGTAAAGAGGCAACCCACATCACCTTTGATTTTTAAGAATGTCAATGTTTGGTAGGATTAATTTGATGACAGGATAATGGGGCTGCTGTCAGAAATGCTCAAAACTGCTGCTGACTTGGTTCAGTATTGAAGAAATGCAAAGGCCTTCACTGATAGCGAAAGATCTTTGGGAGACAAAATAATAAAGTAGCCAACTAGGCTGACAAAATAACATACAAAGTTTTGCATCTTGCACTTTCACAGATGGGCTGAAGCACCAGTATTTCTCAGTTAATATAATTTGGGTATCCCATAGTTATCCCTAATTTAGTAATTATTGACCAGTTTTGTCAATGCTGTTTCTTTAATAGGCTATTGAATGCATCTTTATTTGGTCTCTGTGGCCCTTAAATTGCTGCAGGTTGGTTTTTTACTACTATTCTGTTTGTAAATATGATTTAGTTATGGAAAAAATAACTTCCCTTTAGTGCTTTTATTATTGTATCGATCCACGAATGTATTTTGAAAGTCCCGTGAACAGTCTTCTCTTAGTTTGTCCTACACCGTTTTGTCGCCGTGAACGCACCACCGTCCTCAACAGGAAGTGCAGTGACGCTGGCGCGTTTGTTGAAAACAGACCCGGGGCAGACGTTGTTGACATGACACTGGCAGGCGACCAGGCACAGAATGTAACAAACCTCGTTCATTTATGAAACTATTCATCTCAACAAAAGAGGGGACAATACGCTGAACATGGAGTTATCTCCTCTTATAAAGAAAATAGGTAGGCTAACTAAGCTAACACTCAAACTTTCTGCTCTTCCTCCCGGACGTTTGCTTGAAGTTTACTCTGCTTAAATGTCTCTTATTAACTAAATACACTGTTTGTTTGTTTGCTTTTTTTTATTTTTACTGATCTTAGGCCACTCTTTGGTGGAGATAAGAGTACGAGCATTGAAGAACATTATATGTAAGCTGGACCATTCCCTGATCACGGTCTCTGACATTGTTCAAGAAAAGGAGCTCTTCGTGTATCTTCTCGAGTGGTTCAATTTTCCGGAGGTGCCGATGCAGGAGGAGGTCCTTGAATTGCTCTTAGCTTTCTCAAAGGTGAGTTATATTATTTTAATGCATAGGTTATTCCTCTAAGGGGGCATTGCAGGATCAAAACCTACTTCATATTTTTTTTTTTTTTACACTGCTACACCCTTTCTTTTCATGACTATTTATTTGATCATTTTGTATTCCAAGCATCCTTCAGCAGCGCAGATGCTAAGAGACGTCGGTGCTGTAGACTTCCTCACACAACTGTCTCCTAATGTGGAACCCAGACTGCGAGCTGTCATTGATGGAACCCTGGACCAGCTGTTCCAGCTACCTGAGATACTCCCCAGCCATGCAACGGTCTATTCACATGGACAGCGTACTGCAACTCCAACAGGTGTTGCAAGTTAAAGCCAAATAATTGTTTGTTTTGATTCTCTCTGCTGCAAACTGTGTTCTTAATGTTAGATAGGGTTGAAATTGTTTTTTACTCTACCTTTTCAGATCTTTTAAGAATTTGATTAAAACATTCACGATGTCAATTGATAATTTAACACGTGTTGTCTCTGCTGCAGCACCTATACTTGTTCCACCTGAGGAGCATTTCCCTAAAACCGGCTTTTTCACAAAGAGCATGCCAAGCCTCACAGATGTTCCCCCCTCAAAGGATAGCAGGTACAATTATTTTTTTAACACTTGATGATCCTTTTTTTTTTTTTTTTTTTCGCTATAAATGACTTGACTTTACATGTTTTATCCCTCTGTGGTTTACAGTGCACGAGACCGTGAGATGTCTGAGGTTTTCAGTGTTTCCATGGTTGACTTTGACAAACACAGACAGACACATTCTTTCATCCAATGAAAGGTGAGAGACATGAAAATTACTAATATATGCATAGATTTTTAAAAGAGATCGGGAGAAAAAACACAATTTTTTTCTAATGAACTTTACAGGAGTGTGCAGTGATGTTGAATGACTTCATTTTAATTTCATATTCCTCGATTCTTCTGGGTCAGCTCTCTTAAAAGCAGCAACCACAACTTGGTGCGGACCACATGTGAACTTCTGTGTGATGTCATAATGCAAGACTTCCCTGCTGAGATCTTCCTTCAAAGGCCCAGTATTGTTAAGGTATTGTCCCATAACCTTGTTACTATACTTTATTCTAGTTCTTGAAAAAAACTGCTTGGATGAGACATGTCATAATGGCTTTTCTGGCATGGTCACTCTTACTACTGTCAACATAATAGTGTGTCAAATAATGTCCTTAAACTTACCGTCAATTTAAAATTCGATGTCCCTGAACTTGGAGGAGGTAGTGGCTGCCTCTGAGGGCTTACTTTACTTCAGCAGACACTAGATGTGCTGTGAGGATAAAGTTTGGTCATGATGTACCTCTTACTGGGTTTGCATTTCCTTTGTGGGATATTTTGTTCTCTGCCTGCAAAAGCCTCTTCCAGGATGAGCAATTCTGTAAATTTGGTGAACAGACAGTTGGCTGTCTGCAGCTGTTTTAAGCTGCACTCATCCTGGTGTTGTAATCTCTCCTGTGCTACGTTTCAAACGAGAAGATCAACATGCTCGTGTCATGCTTGTCTGAATTCATATGGGGGGGGGGGGCAGGCTGATTCACAGAATCGGTCTGCAGTGCACCCAATCTTTTAATTTTTTTTATTCAAGAGTAACACTACTCCCCATCGCTGTAAAACAGTGGTCTACATTTTTTGTTGTATCGTTTAATTGACAAAGCGCATCTGTTATTTAGGCTCGTCATTTCTTTGGCACAGACAGATCGCTCGAGGAAACATCATTTTGCCCTGATGAGCCACTGTGAACATTACTATTTGTTAATAAAGTGCTGCATTATACTACATGGCTCTCAAGGCAGTATTAGCGAAGTGTCACGCAGCAGTCTGATCATCAAAGAGAAATCATTATGGCAAAGTAGTTTTCTTGTGGCTCTGCTTGGCCCTCAGTTGAGTTAGTACAGCTATTAAGCTAAATTAAATGACTTGGATTTAGAGACATGACATCATTAGCTGCAGAGGGCAGGGAATCTGAACTTGGAACAAATTGCTGCTTCAATAATTCAATTCCACTTGCCCTTTTTATTTAGCAAACTTATTACAACTTTTCTATCACTGTCTGGGTTTAGGTCCTGTTTGACACAGCCTTTATGTGATGATTGTGTTTGGTCTGTTTGTAAACAGAGCCATAAACCAATTTATTTGCCCAATTACAATAATATCCTCATTAGGCATTACTGGTGGCTAATTAAGTGTTAGAAAACAAACCCAGTGTCACAAAAAAACAACACAGCTCTGATATCCCCTTCTGTTCACAGCACCTTCTGTCCCTGTTGAGGCTGGGCTCAGGTAAAGGTGAGACGAGCCACCTCCACTTGCAGGCTCTTTCTTGCCTGCGACAGCTTTGTGTGGGGCTCAGAAGGAGACTACGCTTTCATCAAGATCCAAGCTTCTACTCTACAAAGCAAGGTAGCATGTCTTAACAGTTAGCCTGATGTTAACATCCTGTTACAGGTGGGGTTTGGGGGGGGGCTTAAGCGAAGAGCAGCTGGTATGTGGCTTTTGCATAAATCTTTGAAATTTGATTCATGATGATTTGATTTGAATTAACAAAGCATACCCATGTTGGTTGACACAGATTTGAAACCAGATTTAAATCATTTTAAATAAATCATAAAATGCATAATAAAAAACAACACAGCTAATATTTTGTTACATTACTGACTGATTTCTTAAATGTGTCACTGAAGAGTCTTGTCTTAAATCAGTGATACAGGGTCTGTAATCTGTTACTTTTTTTGTTCTTTCTTTCTGTGGTTGTGCAGATCCAGTGTCCCAGAACTCGTCCTTCTCCGTGTCCCACGACGTGCGGACCCAGCGCTCTCAGGCCTCATCTCCGGGGGCGGAGTGTTCTCCTCGGCCCTCTGTGGTGGGACGCACAGACCAGAGAGCCAGCGGAGACGGCCAGGACGGAGATGCAGCTTCCAATAGGTGTGTATGTGTAGATCAATTTACAGTTTTAGAAGTGTGCCTTTAATCTCGCTAAAATATTTTCTAGCTAAAAAAAAAAAAAAAAACTGCATCACATCAGTTCTAGCTTTCAAAGGCAGTATTTCTTTGCATGTCTATAACAATCGTGTTGCATTGACAGCAGGGCTTCACTTAGTTCATCTTCTGTCACACATCTGAGGCCTTAATGTTATTATGTTAGTCTCTGTAACTTGCTTGTAGGAATATCTCTTAGGTATTATCAGAACTGTTGTCTGTTCACCAGCTCTTGCGCTTTACAAGAGATTCTTTTTCCTTTTTTTTTTTTTTTTGAAATTTGTGCACAGCAGGTCGTTTTAAGGCTTTGATTAGAATAAAATTGCTAGTGACACCAGCAACCCGCACACAGAGATAAAACGGCATGAGAAAGACTGTGGAGGATTTTCCTCTTCTTCCCCTTAAATATAAATAACACCATGAGCCCTCTAGCGGTCGGTCTACTGTGCTAAAAAATCTGCTCTGATTTCTGGGCAGGGATATACAGTTTCTGTGATCCATCCCTAAACAGCTTGTACGTCACTCCTTGTGTTTCAAGTGGTCCAAGTGCAGATCAGGAATTTACAGTTGTCTCTCCACCTTTTGTCTGTGATTCATCCAGTGGCAGCTCGCAGAGGGGTGGGGCAGCAGTCCAGGCCCCCGGGCAGACCCCCCAGTCGCCTGCAGATGTGGCCCATATGGCGCTTCCTGATCTAGGTGTAGAAGAGGTCCTGGAGCTGCAGTTACAGCAGCTCACTTTGGCTCAGTTTACTGTTGCAACATTGGAACATGCCATACCACTGCTTAAGACAGGTAAGAGTCACTCTAGTTTATATTTAGATAATGTCTTTCTGTTGATGGCAGATATACAGGTAAGACACTTCAAATATCCGCTCACTACACTGACTGCATTCCATCAGCATCTGATCCTGTCTCACAATCTCCTGTACTCTGGCTCCTTGTCTTCTCCTCCTCCTCTCTCCCTTCTCAGACTCTTCGCATGTGTACCAACGTGTTCTGGAGCTGCTGTGCGACGCCGTCCTCCTGCTCAGGGACAGCGTTTGTGAGCTGGTCTGGGACGAGCGCAGCCTGGTGGGGATGGAGCTGGCAAGTCGAAACACAACTCATGACAGCCTCTTATGTAGATGAATGGATACACTTCACTGGAAAGGGGGGAACTGGGTTGGCCACCAGACAATTTGCAACAGACACACAGGCATACGGTGCTTGACTGTCGAGGAGAACTGTAGGCATGTGATTGATCTGAATGAATTATGTAAGGTTTTCAAAAGGCTTTGTGCTGTAGACAAATAGCCTCTCATATATACATGCACACCTCCTGGGTTTATACAGGCTCAAATTATTGTAGAATGTATTCTGTTTATTATGTGAAGAAAGTCCATACATTTCTTTTTTACTATGCACTTTCATTTGTTACCCTGCTGACTGGTGTTTTCCGATTCTGGGGGACTTATACACTTGTCAGGCACCGGCCCCTCTGGCCCTCTGCTGTTTAATACATGCCCAGAGCCTCACAGCCTGAGAACTGTTTTGTCATCTTTATGTGGAGAGCAGCTTATGTGTGCCAGACCTCTAGGTTTTTCCTATGGGAATGGGCTGAACTGTTCGTACCAGCCACATCAATGCATAAGGCATCTACTGCCCCCTGCTGGTGTTCGTCCTCTATTGTTCAATTTCTTTTCCCAGAACAAAGTGGCTCAGAATAGATTGTTCCAATTTATTCATACTGAGATAGGGTGGATCTGTATCTCGTCCCAAAATAACCCTGAAATCTGATTACATTCAATTCCTAACCCCTGGAACGAACAATTTTTCTCTTGGCTCCCGCCCAGTAGCAGTGCGTTGGTGTGTGTCTGCATACATGCGCGTGATATGGGTACATGTGCGTGTGCTGCTGTGTTTGTGTGAAGCCTTTTGTCTGAATTTTCTGTGTGTGTGTGTGTGTTTTTAGAAGGAGAAGCTGCAAGCCTGCATGGAACTACTGGGGGATATCCTGAGCTACCATCAGAGCTGTTCAGCAGACATTCCCCACAGCTGTCAGGTTCATCACAGAATGGCTTACACAGGCACTGCTATATTCACCATTAAACTCCTACAGACCATCCTCCCTCCTGAAAAGGTACGTGGCAAAAACAAGAACTTTCTCAATCATTTTACGTGATTCCTACAATTGAACTCCAAAGTGGAAGAAACTTAAATAGTCTTTATCTTACACAGGCTAGTGAAAATCTCCCAGAAAACATAGCAACAGCTATTTTCCATCTATCTTTGGATACGTCATTGGGAAGCTTATTACCCAGCATGCAAGAGACAGCAGTGGCCTACTTGGAGCAGGTGAATTCCGACAGCCATGATCTCTACAGGAGAGTGGCCCGTGCTGCTCTTTGGATGGAGTCCACCTGCAACTTCCTCAAGGAAGCACAAGCTGAGGTATAAGCTCCACAACATATAATAACAGCAAGCCAATACGGGGACCTTACATTTCCAGTTAAAAATCACTCAAGCAAAAATGTTCAAACTTTGTGTTAATTCTTGTGTTTATTTATGTGTATGTAGGGAGAGAAGAACTGGTTCGAGTTATTGGAGCTGGCAGACCAAGCGATTAGTGGCCTCCCATTTCACCAGCACCTACCCATTGTCAAGGAATGCATTCGGATCTGCTCTTACCTGTATGATAAAAATCACATCAATTATCTTTGCAATGAAATCTTGTTTTTTGCTAAATTTCAGCCACCTCATTGTTCCGGGTAGAAAATCTGATAACCATCTTTAACTGTTCTCTTTGACCTCAAATGTACATTATTGTAGTATTAAGTTTAATTTTCAAAGATTTCTCTGGACAACGTTCCGCGCTTATAGGTTGTTAATTGCACTGGTAGAAGGAGTGTACACAACCACATAAAATACTTACATAAATAATAGATACAATAGGACCCAGTAGGGAGCCTTGTGGGACACCATTTTGTAATTCAAAAAAATAGAAGATAAGAGCATCAACTTGAACACATGACTTTCTTCCGCCAGTAATTTTCAAACCATTCAACGATTTTTAAAGAGCCAAGTTTGCTAACATTAGTAGAAACATACAGCGATTAACAGTGTCAAAAGACTTCAATAAATCTAAGTGACACACAGTGTTCTTTAGAGTCAATGGCATTCATATCATTTTAGACCGCCACTGTAACAGTAGCTGTACTGTATTTTTTCTTCTGACGCCTGACTGAATGTCACTGAGAATGCCATGTATAAACAATAAATATTTTTAATTCATGACCTACTAACCCTTCAAATACAAATATATTTATAATTATTTCCATCTTTTTTTCCATGTTTTATTCCTCATGCTGCCCATCACTAGGTGGAAGTTTGATCAGCCCAGCCCCCTTCTCCAAACGGAGAGCCAGAAACTGCTCCTCAAGCTGCTGTCACATCCCTTGCTGCCTGTCAAGATGGAAACATACGAATGCTCTTTAAACCTGGTCAAGGTCAGAACATGCCATGTTTTTAAGACAGTCAGTTTTTAATTGACAGTGTGTGGGTTCATGGCTAAAATCATGGCTACTAAAGCCATAGTATGGTCTGTTTCCTGGGTCACCAATTTATTAAAAAAGTAGGTTAAAGATGGATTGATTGCAGATCTTTGACAGTGTGCTATAAAAACCGTCTTGACATTTGGAATCAGACTTCCTTTTTCATTTTCTAACCACCATATAGAGCACATGGCTACATTTAAAGTGAATTGGAACCCGTGTATGCAAGTGCAAGTGGGAGGACAGTGATAATTTATGATGTGTGCTGGTGTGATTATATACACCTCTAGGACTGCATTGGCATCCAGAATGTGTCACGACAGGAACCGAGAGCCTGCGGTGGAATAAACTTCCTGCTTCACCACAGGGTGCTCTATGAAATAAGCACTTTTGGTCTCCAGGATTCTGCGGAGAAGGTGGGCAAATGTACATGTGTTCTTTATTTATATTAGAACTCATTTGACTTTTAAATCTTTTTGAGCAAGATGAGAATTTAGGTCAGGGTTGAAAGGAATTTCTATGATAAACACACCTACTAATGATAATAAAAGTACATGGATTTCTGTATTGTGTGATTTCTTTGTGTTTCTGTATGCTACTTTAGATATGCTAAACTGTGAAGGTACACAGCTTTCATTTATACTACCTGCTTCTAAATGTTTTATCAGCAGTGCTTGTGTGAATTCAGCACTTTACCTGTGATCTATAGGTGAATGGTGCTGCCAAGGATATTCTGCTATTCCTACTTAAGGGACGATTGATGATGACAGCATCAACCTGGGAAAGATTCAATGAGGCCCTTTACCCGGTCATGCCAATACTACAGGTAGGGTTCTCTCTGTAGAGGCTGTGTTGCATTTGCACTGCCGAGCTCATAAAGCGGCATCATGTTCGGAACTTATTACATTATATTTGTGGAGCCGAGGGAAGCGGTGTTTGTTCTCCACAATCAAAACAACTATGATCAAAAGTGCAATTTTAGCACTCTTGGACCACAAAAGACTGCATATCGAGCTGCCAGTGAGAAAAATGTAGTTATTCTCTCATTTACATATTCTGTGTTATATTGTTTCCTTTTTGGGGGAGAAAAAACAAGCTTTTATTAATTGTTCACTTTCAGGCAACAGAAAGCCTGGAAATTCTTCATGAATATACATGAGATTTTGACTAGGCTGTCAAGTGTGATTTAATTCAAGAAGGCCATTCAGTGATGGGCCCGCCATGTCAACAAGAGATGAAATGAAACCAGCCGTAATCAAAGCAGTGCATATTTTATTTACTGTTGTGCTGCTTAGATGGAATTCCCCATTGTTCACTCGATTGTCTGCCAAGGCGGTCTGAGGATTGTGTGTTTCTGTGTGTGTGTGGCAGGGTTACGCTAGCACTCAGGAGTCACTTGGAAACTGTGTCCTGCTGATAAGTGACATGTCGGACGTGGCAAGAGAAAGTTTTCCAAGCATAGCCAAGCTTAAAGCCGCGCTGCGACTCCTTTTCACCAAACAACCCACGTGAGTATGGGCTCTGGGACTTACTTTGTCTGTTTTTGTCTCTGTGAATATCCGGGTGTCATATCCCTGTCTGATATGAACGTATATGAAGACGAAATGTTCCGCAGCTTGTGTGGAGATACTTGAGATCTCAGTTTTTTTTTTTTTATGTGAAGCAGAAAAACTCCAGAGAGTCTTAATATTTTGCATTACAAACTGAAATGTGATGGACATATTACTTCTGTCTGTAGCTGTCAGCTGATGTGCTCATCAAGTCATCGAAATCCTCAGTGTGGCCTGTGTGAAACAGCTCTTTAGTCCCAGTCTATGAATATTGATAGAGATGGAAATTAACACCAGACACTGGCCAGGAGACAAGCCCTGGTACATTTTGGCACCAGCTAATAGATTTGTCTGCCTGGCCAGACACTATTTGACAACCAATCAACATTTAGATGTTGTGTAAAAAAACAGAAATCTCGAAGTGATAACATAATTAGCCCTCCATTTATATTGCTTTTATTCTATCTTTTAAAGCGTGATTATTTTTAAGTAAATATCAATATTCACATTTGCATGAATTCTGCTTGTTAATAACAGTGTGAGAATAGAAGCAGTGCAACAGATCCTGCCCCACCTAACCAGCAGTGATGATGCTAACACAGCCAGACCAGACCTGGATCAACAGCTGATCTCCTCCCTTCCAAATCTCTTCTGCCTCAAAACCCCTGCAGACATCAGGCTGGATACCATCAACAAGTCTGTCCTCAAGGTATAAATCTACATACACAGACGGAATAACACGTTAAGATACATTCCTGCTGACTTGTTGTGTTTGATGGCGGGCAGGTGGAGTCAGTGGAGAAGCTGTTTTGTATCTTGACTTCAGACTCAGTTGACATCTCCCTGAAAAGATCGGCAGCAGAGCAGCTTTCTGTAGTGCTTCAAGGTGAGATGTCTGTAAAAAAATTTTTATATATTGTATATAGAGTATACTTGAGTTTCCTCAAACTCATGTATTATTTCAACACCTTTCCTTGCTGAATCTTGCCTCTGGATAGGCTGATAAGGATAATTTAAAGTCTTCTTCTGTCCATTTTCCTCCAAAAACTTTGTCCATTCTAATCAGTGTGATCATTAAGAGGCAGATTTGAATGAGAAACACATTGAATGTTTTTGCTTTTGGCCTCTTCTAACCTGTGTATTTATGGTCCCTCAAAAACATATTTTCTATTTTACTAAGTTAAACTCCAAGTTCTTACAAATCTGTACAGAGGATTTCAAGCACAACCAGCTGCTTATAGTTGAAATTCCTCTAAAAGTTGATCTGAGAAGTTTATTAGGCTTGATACTTCATAATGAAGTATTTGCCTAAGTTATCTGCCACCCGAACAGAGGGTTCAAAGACCCAAATGAAACTCTCCTCCACAACATATCTTTAGAAATCTGCCCTTGTGAGATGTAGAATTTGCAAGGAGTGCAGACGTGTTTTTTCTTTTTTGCCTTCCCACCACCATATGTTTTAGGCAACCACAAAAAACAAACAGTAGATGAATATGCAAATGTTTGTTGTCGGTTTATTGAATTGTTCTGCTTCCTTCCCTGCAGACACCACAATGCATCCAGTGCTGAAGAATCTTGGAATTACCGACAAAGTCATTTCTTTCATTATGGAGAGTGTAAACGGCAACACGGTAAACACAAAACCTGCTTTGGCAAAGTGAGGAATAGATGTGTGCTGAGTGAATTGCTGTTGAAGCCTAATAAAACAAACCCCCGTATCTCATAAATGCAGTAACATGTGCTCCCAGTTTTGTACATTTCCTACTCTTGTGAGTACATGTGTTGCCAGCGGATGGAGAGGAAACCCACTGAAGCTTGCATGATAGAAGGATGAAGTGGCCTGTATTAATAGTGTCAGACAGGCTTTGGTCAGCAGTGATTTTAGCCGTCTAGTTCTTGCAGTCTGCTGATCACTCCCAGGCCTTAAATCAGACGCTGCTTACAGGGCTAAACGTCCAGCATTACTGACTACATGGAGGTGGAGGGACACACAAACAGGATGACTTTTCTCAGCTAACAAGTGTGTAAAGAAGATGTCTGCGAGTCATATCTGTCCCTTATTTCGATTGCCTGCAACCTGCGTAATCACTGAATTTGAGTTAATGTTATGTGAAGAGACAGTAACGAGGCCGTGTGCATTTATATGTGTGAGACAGAAAGAGAATGTGTGTGTGTGTGTGTCTGTCTGTGTTTTCCCTGCAATTAGACACTGAGTGCGAATGTTGCTGTTTTTTCCCCAGAGCTCAGATTGCCTGCTGGAGCCTTGTGCTTGCATCCTGAGGAAGCTGGTGTATTCAGATCCAGCTCTGAGGCACAGCCTGGCACAGCGCAACCTCCTGCTCCTCACAGTGCTCAGGGGTACGTTCACAAGACAACTCATTAAGTAACAGCTATACACGTTGTGTGGTGCAGCCTGGGGGCACATTCTTTGAATAAAAAAAAAAATGGAGTTGACAAGTCATTCTTTGATGCACAGTTTTTATGTCACTCTGTAATAGGTGGTATTATAGCATGATGCAGCTTGTTGCTATGGAGCTCAACAAAACACACATAGCTTTATTCGAGCTTTGTCTTCAGTGCTGATGCTGGCAATGTATGACGTAACTCACATTGTTGTATAATTTGTAGCTTAATTATTTATCAAATATTTTAAATACATTTGTATTTAATTAACTTGAATGTGACTGCCTGCATATATTTAGACTTTTCCCCACAGATTTAGGCAGACATATTCTTTTTTGAGCGTTCAAGAGATAGGTTTTATGCAAAATATGTGCCAAATGTTTTATTACAACTCAGTCCAAAGCATGAACGCTTCATTTCAGAGTCACCATATTGTCCTAATGTAAACAAAGCCTGGCTGGCTCTATCATTGTACGCTTCAACACTTTAATGGTGAAATGAGTCCTGAGTCTCTAAAAGTACTTCAATGTTTTCATGAGATGGAGAGACAAAGTTTAGGGTGCGGTTATTATTAAGTTGTGTATGTGTTGTCTTCATTATAGCATCCCTGATATTAAAGGAGAACAAAGGCAATGGGAGTGAGATTTCTGCCCTAATGAGCTTGCTTCTATTTGATGAAATTGCAAGCATTGAAGTCTGGTGAGTTTATTGTTTCTCTCTCAGAGCTTCCCATCATTCTAAAATAAATGTGCCTGTTTAAAAAATAATAATAATAAAAAAAAATGTTGTGCTTCCTGTTTTTGATGTCATATCAGGTCGGACAATTCCAATACAGATGTGTCCCTCGCTCCGTTTTCCCTTCCCCTGTCTGTAACACGAAGGTGAGCTGATTGGTTAAAATATGAAAACAGCTGTCATTCATATTTAGGTCATCAAGTTCTCAACAGCAGTTTACAATTCTCCAAAATTTCCAGGTTCAACATCCCGTTCCAGGCAGCGACTCATCACGCTGTCAGCCCTTACTGCTGCGTCCTGCCCTCTTCCTCTGACCTGCTGACCCTGGCGCCTGCCCGCCAAGCCCTACAAGTGGCCTGGAATACCGCATGGCATGCCGGGATGGACAACCTGCTCGAAGAGCTTCAAGGCCATTCAACCAATGTTGATGAGTGAGAACCTTTTTGAACATAGTTAGACTTAAGAATAGTTTCAAACTATCCTGAATCTGTCTATTCAATGTCCATGTCCTCATTAGCACTTTGCTATTCATTTTTGGTTTCAGTTTGAGGAAACAGTTGGATGGTGGAGAAACTGATCAGAATCATAATTCCTTTGCAGAATTTTAAAGTAGAACAATCCTGCTACACATCACTCTTTTGCAATGTTCTCTTTAATGGAGAAATGCACTAAAGAATTACGTCTTGTGTTTCATCTGTCTTCATTTACTTCTAATGTGACCTAATTCAAACAGATGAGGATGTCTCTCGCACAGATTTTACCAGCTTGATTACAGCAAAAAGGTTTAGAATGTGTCATAGATGGATCAATCCATCTGGAAGTAAATTTCATACAGTGCTTTAATTGAGACAAGAAGACGTATTTAAAGTTCAAGGCAATTTTGTTTGAATCCATATTGTTTTGACATCATTTGACTATTTCCTTGAACATTGCTTCTTGTCGTAGCTGCAATGATGCGTGCTTCTGCTCGATACAGTGATATGTAATGCTCAGAAAACATCTTTCTGTGGATGACTTATAAATGTCTCATCCCTTTGGATTGCTGATCAAATGTGTTTATTAATACAGGCATTAGTATTCTTTTCATGATGCCAATTAAGAAATACACATATATTATCAAGCATTTACATTTTGTTCCCCCACAGATTTCATCTTGACTTAAGGCTGTCAGAAGCCCAGGTTCTGTCCCTGCAGGCGGTTCACCTTCCTGCTGCACTGCAGGACTGCATCCAGGCCATCGTCATGGCAGCGGGACACAGTTCGGTGACTTCTGCCCTCTCCAGGCTCAGCCTCTATTTGCTTTTTGACAGACTGGCACTCCCTCAAGTTGCCACACACAGCTGCAGAGACACTCTCCAGTCCCTCAGTTGGCAGGCAGCAGTGACCAGGTACTACCCATACGATGTCAATGTACCATGTATTTATTTGAGGTTCAATGCTTAGAAGCAAGATCCTCTCCACTTTGTTCTTACTGCTGTCAACTAAATGTTTTCCATTTCTCATAAAGGGAAGAAAGGCTTCATGTGTTTGTCTTACTTTGTAGAATTTCTCATGAATTTCTTGAATTGCCAGCCTTTTTTCTTTTATTGCAATTAGGGCTTCCAGGTTTTCTTTATTTTCTTTACTTTTTTACCTTTTAAAGTGCCTGATATGCGCATTAAAGCTTCACTAAAGTCTGGGATTGATTCATAATTTCTCTTCGAACCAAAACGTTCGAGTGACATTATTGAAGATCTTTGAAGTTATTTTGAATTTTCTTTCAGCCAAAAGTTTTACCTGTAAAAGAATTGAACAATGCTGAGAAAGTTTGTCAATAGAAATTAAGCGTAATGGTCATATTTGAGTAATTGTACCAAGAAAAGGTATTAAATGATCACCAGGATTTTCCTTTCACAGGGCTCTCTTCCTCTTGTTGACACGGTCTCTCTCTCTTCCTTTCCTGAAGGTTTCTCAAGGTGCGTCCTGCCTGTGTCGAGGATGAGAGGTTGCTGGTGGGCATTGTTGCATTTTTGAATGCCTACTTCAAACAGGTGCACACCGAGTCCACATCTGACTCCGAGGACAAGGACCTGCGCTGGATACTGCAGCTGCTCCTCAACCAGGTACAAATAATTCACACTTTCTGGACAAGCAACGCCAGCTAAACCTCACTTCTATCATCCTGTAGCCTGCTTGGTTGTGTTACAGAGCCATGGTTGTAAAATCCATGGATCATGCAGTCAAAAGAAAAATTAGCAAAATAGCAGCCATCTCATCCGTATATTTTTTTCTTAATGTGTTTTAATGCACTTGTAGTTTGTCTTTGCTGTCTTTCTATGTACAAATGAAGTATCTGTGTTTGCATCTCTGATCGCTAGTAATCTGGTTAGGCTCTCTCCTCTCCAACACAGAGGGTTATATATACCTGTAATCAAAACAAGTCACATGCCATCAGAAAAGCCGTACTGTCTCATAACGACAGGGAAAACAGTTTCACAGTGTGGCACCTCAGACCTGCAGCACAGATCATTTCCTGAGCTCTCAACACAAAGTTGGAGTCATACGTTTTGCCTGAGGAGAAGGAAAACTGCACTGTTTTAGCAGCGAGAGCTACTTTTAGGATTTAATCAGTCTCACCTTGGCTTCCTCATTAATGTGTGTGTAAACAATAAGCCCTCCCCTGGCAGCTGAAGCAGACTCAGATTGAATGCCTGGTAGGGGTGAACAGCTCTGCTCTGACTTTTCTGTAATTACTGAGCTGTTTCAGGAACATCTGTTGTTCTCTTCACTCCCATCAACTATCTTCTTCGTATGCACTGCTGAAGAAATAAATTCTGCATGTTTTGCACTCCTAGAGCTGGGGTTTGCATGGAAATATAGCCCGTAGTATGCGCGTGATGCTTATTGAAACATTGCTGGTAACCTTTTCCTTTCATGGGTCAGTTTGTTAGAATTTAGAAAAAATCAGCAGATAGAATGTTTTTTTATAATCAATACTTCATAATCTACTTAAGTTACTAGTTCCATCAAGACAAAGACAAAGATGTGACTAAATATGCATGCGGATAACAAAGTACTGTTCATTACTTATTACTCATTTCTCTCATTTCAGCTTGTAGTTTTCTTTTTCCTTCACAAATGTATTTTTTGCTAGCCAAGATTAGTAAATCAAAGTTTCAAACAATTCCACATATTCAAAAATAATCAAATAGATAGATAGATGGGTACTTTATTAATCCTTTGCAGGAAATTACACCGTCACAGCAGCAACTGCATTCACAGTCACAACACCACACAAAAAACTAACAAATACAAGACATCAAAAATACTAAGATCAGTTTTAAAAAAAACTAGACTAAAATGTCAGAATTATAAATAATAGACATCCTAGAAATGTAATGAAAATGTTGGTGTCCATTCATATAACGCTCATCTAGGAGGCTGCATCCCTTCTAAATTTGCTGCTCGGTGTGGAGACACAGACCTCCACTCAAAACTCAGGGGAGCTGGAGGAACTGAAGAACCATGTCAGCCAGAGACTTCAGAGAGAGCTGACCAGCTTCTTCAACATCTTACTCCTTAGACTGACACACACCACTGACAGGTAAGCATGACAGAGCTTAGCCCTAATGCTAAGGTACTCATTTAAAATGTATTCAATTCTTAAAGGTAGCAGTAGCATCCTTTCTGCTTTTCAAATAATAAGCTCTAAATTCTGCTCTAAATGCTGCTGTAGTTCAGGGGCACAGAGGCATAACTTTTCTGTTGGCATTATGCCTTGGAATCTCTACAATTCTAATGAATTCTAAATTAGAAATGAATGAAAGCGCAGTTATTTTTACTCTGTAAGAGCTCGGAGAAGGTGAATGAACTCCATTTGAATGCTATTCAGCCTTCCTGTGCGGTTATAAAATGAATTAACATCAACAGGAAGAAACAAAGTTACTGAAATGTTTTTCCACTGTAGGGAATGTTTTATTATTTTTCACATAACTTGTGATGAAAAACCTGCTTGCTTAGTCATTCAGACATCAAAATTGACAGCATCATACAAGCATTACCTACTCATGATGAAGAATTTGCATTAGAGTTATTATTTTTGTCTGTTGTCTGCATCAACCATCCTGTCTGTATTTCTCACTCTCTCTCTCACTCTGTCCTTTCCTTTCTGTCCAGGCTCTGTCTGGCGCTAGCAGGCCCCTTCAAGAGCCAGCTGGCAGTCCGTTTGCTTCAGAGCCTGCGGGTGTCCGACGCCCCGCGTTTCTACGGCCTTCCCAGCCTGGAGAGGACACTGCAGGGCATGGTCAGCCTGACTGCCCAGCCTGGCTGGAGCTCCCACTGCCCTGACCTGGAGCCCATGTCCCTCTGCTCCAAGTATCTCAGTGGTCTTTTAGAGGTGTGTGAGCAGTGTTCTGTGTCTGCTGAGTACGTGTGCATATGTTCATGTGTTGCACAGGCATATGCACGAAGCATGCCGACTCACAAGAGCCAAGACTGCCAACAGAAATGAATAAAAGGCAAAGCAGAGTGCTTTCTGAGGAATTAATTAAAAATGAAGCAGAATATGGTTACGGGACATGAATTGCAAAAGGTAAAAAATCTCATTGATTAGATATGCCACACTGAGAAGATGCTGATGAGATTAATCAAGCTTGCCTATTCCATCTGTTCGGTTGTTCAACAGTCCGTGAAACAATAACCTAACACAGTGAAGACCAGCTTGCACAGCAGTCTTCAGCACAGAGGTGTCCAAACTTTCATTTTTGATTGAGAATGAAGACCCCTGTGGAATCGACTCTTCTCTTTGCACAATACCTTTTCATGTTGGTTTGGTTTGTTTCAACAGGCTGCTCTGATTAACATGAGATAAAGAGTGAGGGTGAGTTTCCTTTTCAGTCTGAACCCTCTGGTGGCTACTTCGATCTTACAATCCGATACCTGACCCCCATGCCCTCCACCCTCTGACCGACCTCTCACCTGATACTTTCAGCACTGTAGGGCCCTAAAGCTCAGCCAGCCTTAGGCCACTCTCTCTCTCTCTCTTCATCAGCTCTTCAGTGCACTTCCACATCCTGATGGCGAGAATCAAAGCTAAATAATTAGTCTCTGCTGTATTTATTAGGATGCAGTGAGTCGCATACAGCAAACACTAAACCGAAGCCGTCTTGGATGTTCAAATGACAACGATCCAGAAAGCAGGAGCATCTTGTGATAAAACCACTTAACAAATATGTTTTGTGACCTTCTGTGCAGGTGATCTCCTCTTTCTATGTAGAGTGGGGAGGCAACTCCCTCTCTTTCATGGGGAAAGGTGTGACCAAGAACGCTGTCGTCTGCTTACTTCACCTCTCCCATGAGATGATGGCAGACACCACAGACAAGGCAAGTGTCAACAATGTCCTGTAAGTGAAGATACTGCTGCTTACAAAGGAATCAGTGATCAGATTCATGTACTGGAGTTTTTCACCCTTCTTCACCAGACTCCATGAAAACATTTTAAAATGTAACCAACCTTGAGCATGTTTTTCTTTCTATTTTGTCTTCATCAGGACTTCATAGTTCATTGGTCTTTGGGGACTGAGGCAGCTGCCGAGGAGGGTAGTGCCTCTCAGCTTGGTTTGGCCTGGCTCATTCCACTCTGGGTCGACCGAGATCAGGAGGTACGGACAGTCACTACACTTACAGAAACAACATTTATGACACTACAGTCTTCAATATTTAGCTGCTTACTGCTCGTCTCTACTTCAATAGCTTTCTCTGTCATCAAATTGAGTTTCAAGAGGCCTGACATTTGGGACGTAATGAAACCCATAAGATTTGTTCCAGAACTCACAGAGAAAAAGAAGCAAATGACGGCATGTCATACCAAAGCCCTCTGTCTGTCTCCGAAAATAACTTCCAACACAAGTCACTCTAAAGAGGCTCCCTTGACTCTGCCATTTCTGCTTTAAATGCCAGTCTTATGAATAACCACCACGTACAAATTTGAAGGCTACTTATTTCTAGTCTTAAGATGTACATTTAACTCTCTCTTCTCTTTTCTCTAAACACCCACCTGAATTCTCGTTTCAGGTGAGGTGTGCCAGTTTGGGTCTGGGTGCAGCTCTGTCCTCGGTGCCCAGCGGGTGCCAGGCTCTGTGTGCCAGCTGTCAGAACATCAGCGGAGGTCTGTGGGGCACGCTGCTCAACATCCTCATGGATCAGCAGGAGAGCAGCATGGTCCGCAGAGAGGTATCATTCTTAGTGCCACTCGTGAAAAAAAAAAAAAACACCTTTCTGAGCTTAAATATAGAGCTGTTTATTTTTTATAGTTATAGAAATGACTGACACACGATAAAGCAATAATTGCCTTGTTTTAAGGACTGAACAGTACTGTGTTTTCTTGTGGTCAGTGAGTGTGGCTGGACTTCTGTGTATTACCAGTCAAATACAGGCAGATGGCACTGTTGCTGATGCAGTATCACTTGACCTAGTGTGTGCGCAACTTTTTTTTTGTGTGTGTTTGTGTGTCCAGGCTGCATTTATCCTGCAGAATTTGCTGGTGATGCCCATGCCTGCCAACGCAGAGGAGGCCAAGGACTCCCACTGGCAGGTCAGCAGCTCTGCCAGCCAGTTAAAAAGCCTTTATAGACCATGAAGTGTTTTCTTTTTTTTTTTTTATCTCTCCCTATCCTTCAGTTTCTCTTTGTGTCTCTCCTCTTTCTCTTACCAAACCAAGTATTTACTTGAGTCCTGCATAGTTCAGACAGGGTTTGCTAGTTTTGAAACTCTACTGGGGGTGCAGCCCCTCCTCCCCCGCTCTCCCAGTAACATAATGAGGTTTAAACCCTCATCATCAAAAAAATCATCATCCTTATTTGCTATTTGCCAGAAGCAGAAAATAGATCCATATTACTCATTATTACCTTTAAACAATGCTTTTTGTTTAAGATAATCTGATCTAGTTTTATTTGACAAAAGCTTGAGAAAGACAGAAAGGCAAACTGAGGTTGTGTGAAAATGTTTGAGATATTTCTGATACATTTATCAGTAACATTTTCATGTGCACTCATCCCTTTATATCCTTCTCATACTCTCCTGTCTCCCAGCACCCATGCGTTCACGATGAGGAGTCCGGTGTGTCTCTAGTGGGTCTTCCAGCGCTTCAGGCTCTGCTCTACCACTGTCAGTACTTCCAGCATGTGGCTGTCTGTGCCTCCAGTTGTTACAGAGGCAGGTACACTTTCCATCTGCAGCCTCGTGCCGGCTCCACTGGAGGACCAGGCCTTCAAGGGGGCAGTTCACTGGGTAAGTGTTGGTTTTATGATGATTAGATCATGTGGCCTTTTTTAAATGGATTGCACTTTAGAGGATTCAAGTATAAATTAACAAATGATTGTTGGTCTAGATTCTGAGAACTCTCTATGGTTTTGGAAATGTGATCCACCAGCTCCCACTGCAAACTCCAGCCGACCTTCCAGCTCCCTCTCCACCTCGAGCACTGTGGTCAGCAATGCTTCATGCCTTAAAAAAATGCACACAAACCTGCACGTTGTTAATGAATAGCTGCATTAAGTCCCATCTGGATCCTCATGTCTGCATGTCGTTGTTGTTTACAGATTCGAGGTTCAGGACCGCACACCCCTAAAAGTCTGTCTCCATTAAGCGTCACAGAAGAAACCCCGACCAGCAGACTGACGGCCCAAGGTAATGCTAGGACAAAAATGTCTTTAATTCAGTGAAATAAAAAGTGCATAGGAGTTTTCACACACTTGTTTTTAAAGTAACAGAGCATGGTTTATTATTTATACCAAATATACTTTCACATTATTTCAAAAGCAGTGAATGTTTTTTTGGTCGCTTGCAAACAAACTGGAACCATTCTCCATATTTGTTTATTTATGTCTCCGTCTTACATATCAAATTGAAGAAGCAGTGCCTTGTTTTCCATTGTTTTCTCTCTAATGTTTTTATTATGTGGTCACAGCATCTTTAGCAACACACAGAAGAGAATCAAACAGTGAGCTATTGGAGATGTCTCTATCTGCTCTCTTGTTGTGTCTCACAGGCCAAAGCGACACAGACACAAGCGACGCGGTCACCTCCCAAGACTCCCGACTGGGCGAGCCCTTGGCCATGGAGCCCATTGTCATGGTTACTCCTGAACTCATGGCGGCCCACTGTGGCCTGCTGGCTAACCTGCTGGCCATCCTGCCAGAGTCCACCCTCACTGCTGTGCGACACAACCAGCTCCTCCAGGCACTGGCCAGGTGAGAGGCTGCATGCACACACAACAACCACCTCTGATGTGTTAATCAGGAAGAAAAGTCAAGGAATGGTTGCGGTAGACTTTTTTTTTTGTAATCTTCTTTATTCCAAATATGCAAATGTACACGCAGTTTAAACTGCATGAATCCTTTCTCCTTGCATTGAAGTGAATAAAAAGCTATTTAATGGTAAAGTAACGTAAGTTATGAGGACATCAGGAGCATCTACAACTTATAAAATTAACACTTTCATATATTTTGGTAATTTTTTAAAATCATAATTATAGATGATGTGGATAAATCTATATATTTATGGTGCTGTAGAGAATGAATGCTCACTCTTACCCTGATCACCTCTTCATACTTCTTACAAACACTCACATTCTCCATCATCTTTCTCTCTCAGTCTGTTGGATATCGGTCCTATCGAGAAATGTCTGAACGAGCTAAAGACGCCCAACATCCTTCCAGGAGAGAGAGAAGACATCAAGAGCCAGGTGAGAAACATTCTCAAAGACAGCTCTGAAGAGTTTTTTTTTCAACTTTTTTTTTTGTTAGTGTGACTTACCACAAAAAAAATGTGGGTTGGTACGGCGCAGTGCCAGCTTCAGTGCAGCGAGAGGTTGTCTGAGGGCACCTCCAGATTTCAGTGTGGGTGGAATACTTAACAAGCTTAAACTCAAAGCATTGTTTTGCAAGCTTGGAATATTAACGCTTTCAAAGGAAGAACTTATTCTCCCTATACATCCGTTATCACCTTTTCTCTAACCTCAGATGTTCTGTAAATCTTTGCAACGTGTCCTTCCGCACGTGTTGTAAATGCTGGAACTCTGCTTCTTTCTACATGTCTCTAGTTTGTCACGTTACTTCAGTTCCTGTCCAGCTTCTCCAAACTGCTGCAGTCATGTGTCATGGTGAGCCAGGAGCTGATTGGTCAGATGGGCTTCCTGAAACAGCTGTTAGGGACTCTTGTGGCAGTGCTCATGCTGGATACCACAGGATTAGGTCAGAACTTTAAGTTATATTCAAGTGGAAGTCATCAGTTTAAAAGAATAAAGTTTAGGAGTATATTCCAAAATGTTTCCTTAAATTTAAGATTAAAAATGCATGATCTGTGTCTCCCTTTTGATTTTGTTAAAAACCTTTTAACGATGCTACAAAAGCAAGCCCCATTCTGACATTTGTTCGTCCCTCCCTGCGGTGTGTTCTGCAGTGTGGCGTCGTGTCTGTCTCGTGTCATAAAATTTGTGACTCACTCTCTCCCTCTTCAGATGCAGGTTCCCGGGACACAGTCTGTGTGTGCTGGGCAGACGTGTTTATGCTCCTGGCTACTCTGGTGAGGAGGGACAGCTCAGCGTCGTACCCATCTGTCTCTGCTGCGCTGGGGAGACGCTGGCGGACATTTGCAGGTACACAGATACTCTGCACTGTCTGTGTGTGTGTGTGTGCCTGTGTGTGTGTGTGTGTGGGAGGGGAGGAGTGACTAAATTAATTATTGTGTTGTAGGCTGCAAAAAAATCTGGTTGAAAATCATCCATTATGGATAATTTCTCACAATTCATAATTATAGTTTATTGTCTTTTGGAGACATTTATATTGTCAACATCCCTCTGAGCTTTGAGATCTTATACATGATGACATCACGCTATAAAGGTCGTTATTTACTTAACCTAAAGACTGATAATCGTGATAAGGATAATTATGCTGATTGCAATAACTCGCTAGATAATCAGGATTGGCACTTTAGCTATAATTGTGCAGCTGTAATTGTGTTACAAAAAAAGAAATCTCACATTAACACACATCATTGCATCATTTCTGTGTGTATTAACTTCCCTGAACAGATGCTAGGATTTGATAATTGCATCCTGTCCTTAAACCACCTCCTCTCCTCCCACTCATCTTCCTCTGTGATTAATGGCACAGCAGAGGAATCTGATGAGTCCGGTGAAAGATGAATGCTGAGCCTTTGTGTGTGTGTTTACTTCTGTGTGTACATGTTGATGATATCTGCATACACATTCAAATGATTAGTGTTTTCTCTGCCAGTGCATGGAGAAATACAGCACTGTCGAGGGATCTCAACTATAAATTTGCCATTTTGTCACGCTGTGATTAAGTGTATTGCTGTGTCATTCTTTAAAAAAGAAAAGTATTCTCTTACCAACTTGCTCTTTTTTTATTTTCCCCGTGTGTGTGTGTGTGTGTGTGTGCAGGAACATTATCTGTGTGTGTGAATGAGAAGCTGTCAGATCATCTTCTTCACACAGTGGCTCTGCAGTTTCTCTGTGCAGTCTTCATAGAAGAGACAAAGAGTCAGGGTGTAGAGGTCACGACCTCAAACTCTAAACCTGCCTCAGCTTTGTCTGACATTGTGAGTGGTCACTCAGCCAGCCAGCTGTGTGAACTGTTACTGCAGGTAGGTGGAGGCGCAGGGGTAGTCTGTCTAGACCCTGGTGCACAGCAGGAGTTCACTGTGACTAAACTTGATTACTTTTCTATACAACACCAGTGTATGTGCTCAGGGCAATCCAAAACTTTGATGCTAACTTTCAAGAGTGTGCGATTACGTGGACTGATTGAACACTGTGTTCCTCCTTCACTGCCGATGCCAGAGTTTTGAGAAGAGGACCCTTCAGGACCCTTTAAAGAAGCTGACAGCCAGAACCCTGATGACACTGTTAGCCTGCAGCCCCTCCGCTCAAATCCATGCAGCCAAAGGTAAAACCCCAAACCTCAGGCTACAGTCAAGCTGTCACCTGTTGCATACACTTTGAAATGTTTAAGTGGGTCGCCGGCTTGTCTTGTGGCTTCCCATAAGACATATCATGTAAAAGACTCTTCGTATGAACTCAAAATGTCATTATTTAGTGGAAAAGATATCTATTTTTAAAACGTCTTTTTCAAGAAGGCCATTCATGATAGAATACAACATCATTTAGAGCTGTTTTTTGAGAGTGCACTAGACACAGTGAAGAGAGATACATTAGCCCTCTTCCCTTGTTCTAAAAAAATATTATCACTGACAGGAGGAGTTTTGTTTTGCCATCTCCTCGATCTAACTAATGCACATGAATACCGAGAACAGGGGTTCCTAAACATTTCATCTCATGACACCAAAAAGACCGCCACTGTCCCTGGAGATGGAGGATTTGAAGTGTTTTTACACTTTAATTTCATTTTCATTTCAGTTAATTATGTAGTTTATTTGAAATGGAACTACTTTATTTGTATCTTGTTTGTAATTTTTTTACTAGTTTTTGTGGAAGGCATCTCGATCACGACTCTCCGGGGGTCTCGACCCCCCTTTAGGAATCACTAGTGTAGAACACTCATGACCAGGTGGGCGAGGTGATGACGTTGACATTAAGCATAGGTTTGCTGCTTTATACTCTGTACTGCTCGCCTTGGTTGTCATCTATTGTTTTCTTATGCTGTATTTGTATTCTGTAAATGTCCTTAAATACATTGGAGCGATATTTACCCAGAAACACTCACTATTATTGAAGTCTCCTCCTCTTCCTTCTGTACCGCTAGTACCCAGCCACCTCTTCACCTTAATCAACAGGAGTGTGTTGAGGTGTGAGAGTGTGTGCGGCAAAGATAATCTCTAGTTGTGAGGTGCATGTGTGAAAAGTGTTTTCTTGAAATGATCACAACCTGAAGGCCTGGAATTATCTAGAAAATGTCAGGAGTCGATGTGTGAAAAGGGCTTCAGAGTCATTTCTTTACGGATGCTTTTTATGAGTGTGAGAATCTAAGACAAGGTCAACAAGATAAATAAAGTAAGGAGAGAAGTGTAGCTACAGACCAAATATAAAGATGGGAATGTTTATAAGTCTTAATAAGCTAGAAACAGTGGGAACACTTCCCCAGAGACTACATTAAATCAAGTCACTTTTTCAAATTAAAAAAACTGAATTTGTTCTGGTGGGCGCTTCAAATGCACATAGAGCAGTAGCAGTGCTTGTATGAGTGATTATATTTTCTTATATATGTCCAGTGTCTTTACATTTTGCAATCCATGTAATCAAGTAGGATTTAACCTCATTCTCCTTTTCTTCAGACCAATTTATGGTGGAATGGGCCTTATGATTGACACTAACAGTTTTTTGCTGCAGAAATACATGCAAGATTAGAAATGTTCCTTCTATAACATTTGACGTTAAAATGATCAGGTAACACTTTAAAAACTGACTATCTGTTGTTGTTGTTGTTTTTTCCAGCTGGTCTTATTGACAGCTGTGTTGAGCAGATGAAGCAAACTCAGTCTCAGCTCCACCTGGAGTCGGTCCGCCCTGGTAAAGCATCTCACCGCAAAAAGGTGAGCAGAGACCGGATGGAAATTTCCAGCCTCAGCAGTTTGTGTTTCTTTTTATTTTACATGGAGGAGTTCTTTTTTTGGGATAAATATTATGAATACCTGTTGTAGTTCTCAGCAGTAAGTCTCCTTGCTGTTATGGAGCAGCGTAGAGTGTGTTTTTATCTTGAACATGGGAACATAATGCTCTTTGTTGTGTCTTTCTGTATTATCAGGAAGAAGGCCGTTTAAAGGAAATCAAGCTGACTGTGGAGATCCTGCGGAGCGCTCTTTATCGCAACGATGAATGCAAAGTGAGCCTCTGCGCCTTGCCTTTTAATTCCCCTCTGCTAATTGTTTTTTAATGGAACGTTAAAGTACCAATGCTGAGCCTGTAAATGAGATTCAGCTAAATGTGCACAGTCCTGCTAACATGTCAGCAAGTTTAGCTTCTTAAACCCTGTAATGGCATTACTTATGAGGCATATTAACTGGTTTTCATTTTTTAAGTGGCCTTTTAGTCACTGGTGGTTACCTTGGACTAAGTAGCCAGGGACACTCAACTGCTGTGTTTACCCTGCTATTTTCTACTCCCTGTGTGTTTTCTTCTGCACACTTACAAAAACACTAAAGCAATTCATGTTGATTACTTCCATCTGTGTTTGTGCATTCGTATAAATTAGGCTTTCTCTAATGTTTTATATTACTTTTTAAGTGTGCTATTTTGGTGCTAGTTTAAGCGTGTGTGTGTGTGTGTGTGTGTGTGTGTGTGTGTGTTTGTGTGTGTAGACGGTGGCCACAGATGCTCGTCTGACACTGGCACTCTATGCTCTCTGGCCTTGGCTGCTATTGGACGACCCCACCATGGAGGCGGTGCTGGAACTTCTGTGTGTCTACACGGCCAACTGCGCCACAGGTCTGTTTGTCCGCGTGTGTCTGTCTGTATGTCTTATGTGTTTGTGCAGGCACTGTGCCTGTCTCATGCCTGCCCGTCGCCTCCGTCTGAGTCATGCACCCTTCACACTAAGAGCCCCATTGTCCTCCCAAAACGACCGCTGAACAACATTGTGTCTCACTGTACAAGCAGCGCCTGCTCGCCTGCCAGTCACAATAGGCACACTGTCATGATCAGGGGTCAGGCTGCATGGCTGTCTCACTGTATGTATGGCACTGGGAGTCAGACCAGTTGGAGATGATGTGGGAAAGCACAGAGCGTCTCTGTATTGCCTGAGATGTTGGTATTCCATCATGCAAATGTAGGAGCTGTGTACGTAGAATCGAGAACAGACAAAGACTTGCAGAAAAAAAAGCTTGTCGAGTAGAGAAAAGGAGAGATTCATTGGGAGGAAACAGTAGGGAAATTTGACTTTGATAAACAGCTCATGGTGCCTTTTATGCATTTGTGTGTGTGACTGGTGTAGTTGTGCAACTGAAATCAGTTTCATCAGTGAAAGGAAGTTTCATGTGCAACGTGTCTGTGTCTTTCTGTGCGCCTCTGTTTGATTGGCACCGGATCCTCAGTGGGTGCATGTGCTCTGATCTAAACTCACTCGCTTTAGACCCCTCGTATGCTCAAGCTGTGAGGTAGCAGAAATCAGTGAAGTCAGGCACAGTATTTCCCTAAAGGTTAACCGAACAGCAGGTTGTGTTCAGGCTGCATGCAGCCAGGCTTAGTATTACACCATCCACCCTCAGGCTACCATTGCGTCTCGGGAGAAGGCTACATTTCCTCTGACTGTTTCATCTCTAGTCTACCTCCTTCATCCAAGGCTTTGTTTGTACTGCTAGTTCAAGTTAGATTGTTGTTTTTGTCTGTGGCACACATATTTTCACAGATATTTTTGTAGCAGCCCCAAAACTTGCTCCTACAGACAGCCAGAAAGAAGAAAAAAAAAACCTGTTTTTTTTTTCTACTCTTCTATGAAATGATCAATCCAATATGTTTGCAAAACGAATTAATGAGATTTGTGTTAGCAGTGGGAAGGCCTTTAACTCTCATTAGAGGAGTAGATCCATTATCAAGTAGAGCTCTCTTGTCAATTCTATGGTAGACTGGCCATCTTGACAGGTATTGAGATAACCTCAGGCTATCATCAGCATACACCCGCTCACAGTGCCAGCACGTTGTAGGCTAAACCATTCCAGGATGAGCATAACCTATAAGCTGCCATGTTCTCCAATAATCAACATCAATCAGCGTCACACTGTGTCCTGTTCAATTTGTATTTAAACTCCAACTGCAGCAATTAGCCCTGTCAGTTACACTGACGGTGGATGTGGTTCCCAAACAGAGATGTTTTTATTTGACTCTCTATTTTTTGTATGTTACAAATTTGTGTTTACATTTCTGAATGGGGTTGTAATAGAATCAATCGCAGCTATCGCCTCGGGCCTAATACTATCCCTCCCTCCCAGAGTCAAGAGACGGTTTTCATCATCAGTCAGAGCTGTGCTGGTGAATGATGATTAAAAGACAGTAAAAAGATGAAACGACTTTCAGCTAGAGCAATCTGGATGTACATGGAAGACCTTACTGCTACTTCAAAAAAAGATTTTGAACACTGTTAAGTTAAATAGATACATCTTGCTGTTCATTCTGTCTTTGTGCAAGACGTCTACTCTTCTCCATCATATTTGTCAATCGGCTAGACGGCTTGTTCAGCAAAACGAGCCATGCATGCATGTTTGGGTATTGTGGGCAGACAGCCGTGCAGCCGGGCGGGTCAGTCTTTGTTTTTGAAGCTACTGGGACTGCTGGCTTTCCAGCTAGTTAGCTTTAAGATAAACAGAAAGAAAGGGCAGCTCCAAAAGCAAGGAGAAGAGAGCGCTTTGCTAAATGTAACACTGTATTTATTCTGGACTTTTCTCTGTGTCTACAAGAGCTGCAAACAGTGCATAAACAGACAGGATAATACAGAGACAACAGTGGAATTAATACTTAAGACATTATTGGTAAATCTTGTGTCAACTTTGCTGCAATTTGAATTTTAGAAAATAAAAAATGTGGATCAAGTATTAGTGATTTTTTTTTTCTCCCTCCTTTGCAGCGTGCAGCTCCCTCTGTTGCGGTGGTCCGGGTGCTGCAGCCGGATCTAAAGGCACCCTGATGCACTCCATCATAAGGCTGGCCTCAGGGGTCGCTCCAGACAGCAGCCCCGTCCAGAAGCTAGCTTTCTCTCTCTTGGCTAACCTGGCCATGTCCAGAGACTGCAGAGGCCTGCTGCAAAAGGTAAGGCTGACACACAGTACCAGACGTACACCAAATAATGTCAAAGATATAGATGAAGACAATAATGCATGACTTTGTAATGATTGGTGTTGACAGAGTGCAATCTGAAACATTGTTTTCAGAATGTTTCAGCGTCATTCCCCCCACCACAATATATGAATCTTTTTTGTAATTGATTTTTTTTAGATGAAACAAATTTAGATTCAGCAGTTTTTCTTAAAGTCATCTCAATTGGCTCTGAAAAACCGTTTAACAAGTTTAATAAAATTAACACGAGTGAGATATTCAGTGTGACAGAATTAAATAAAGATACATGACATAAGCTATAAATGACATAAGCTTCTCTTGCACTTAAGCTGTCCAAAATCTCGCCCTCACACTGCGCTGGCTGGGGAAATATATTTTCTATACTTAGGAGCAGCTCTTAATGATCTGTTCACACGTCTCTCAAACTCTTGTATTAACTCGATGATGTCTGCTTCCTTGTCTGTCATTCTCAGAATAACTTCCTCCAAGCTTTCCTGTCAGTGCCAATCCCTAAGGCGGGTAGTGTGAAGGCCACATCTGTAAGTTGTGGCAGTGGGAGCCTGCTGGGCCTGTGGCTGAGGCTTCTGGTCAATCTCTCGGTCACAGAGGACGGCCAGCTGAGTATCCTCAGGGTGACCGGAGCCCTGGAACTGCTGGCAGACCTGGCACCGCAACGACGCCATGCTCTGCTCACTCTTCACAACCTCTGCTTCTGCCCCGCCAACAAGCCGCATGTACTTGCCAACGGTATGCAGGGGAAGAAAGGGTTAACTTTCAGGATCTTCAATTGGGATTATAAAGTGTTTAAAGAGCAGAATGAAAAAAAAAAGAGTGTTTTCGAGTTTGCATTTCATGGTTTTAGTAAGTAAGATTCTTTTCTTCTGAATCTTCCCAAAACCTTTTTTTTTTCTTTTTACTTTTGGAAAGTTCAACAGAAAACGGTGGGAGGCTTTGTTTCTGTTGAAAGTCCTAAAAGTTGTCATTTAGCAGATTCTCATTTTTTTTCCCCCACAAGTCATAGTATCTTAACGACCAATCTGATCACTGCGATTGAAGGAAATGATTGCATGAACAGTGGGTTGGTATTAAACAAAAGGATAGGCAATTGATGAAAACATTTTGGCCAGAGACAATTGATATTACACTCTTTGTAATTATGGATTTTGAGTGAGGAAGTGTTTAGTTAAGCTAAGACTGAAGCAGGGCAAGGCTAGCTGTTTCCAGACTGATGTAGAGCTGCTTTAATGTCCTTGACATGGCAAACTGCCTGAGCATGGACACTAAGGAGGGGGGGGGGGCAGCTCTCTCAAATGTTTTGAATTTGGGCTGTAGTACACATTTCTAACACTAGGTGTCAGAGTTACATATTGGTCCTTTAAGGGAGACTGTTCAAAGGGGTCTTGGAGCCACAGATAATGAACACGAGCCCAGAGTTATTTGACCTAATATTTGTTCCCCGGTGTAGAAGCTGAAAATGCGTTTTTTTCTTTGAATGGCTCCTACAAATCCTTAGATTTAGACATTTTGCTGATCTCAGACAAGCAGATTGTACACAGTCTAGAGCGCTCAAGACAACAGACTGACATAACAAGTAAAGTAAACAAGTGGCTTGTAAAGAAGCCGAGCATCTTGCAAACTAAAACTAAAAGATTACATTTTTCGAAGCTGCACTCATGTAGAGCTCTATAAGAAGTAAATGTTGGACAAATAGTCATCAGGTGGAAGGACAAACAAGTTGCCACGTGCCTGCTGGATGAGCACAGTAAATGAGCTGTTTGGAAACTTCAGTATTTTCAAACAAGTTGTATTTAAATTCAGAGAGTACGGATGCAGCAGGTGTACGGATGCAGCAGGTGTACGCAGGCCAATGATTCATAGATCATGTATAAGTATGATGAAAGGAGAGGAAGTGGCAAATTGTGCCCCCTCGCACAGTTTCCAGTTGCAGGTGTGATGTGTGGTCTATGCCAGGTGGGTGTCATTTCTTTTAGTTTCCTGTGGAAATATCACTTCCTGTGTTAGTTTAGCAAACAGTATGAGTTACTGTATGTGTGATATGTACACATGATCAAAAGACAACATGAGGAAACAATGCAGATAGTGACTGTGTTTTTTTTTTGTCAAGCTTGTTTTTCTTTGAATAGTTTTATTTAGAGCTAAAAAAAAATAGCAATATATGGGTATATCAAGATGAACAATTTTTTTTTTTACATGTACTCTTCTTTTGCTTCAAATTGATGTTTATCATATTGAGACGTTGTTTTTCTTCCAGGCACAGCCATGAAGGTGTTGTTAAGCTGTTTGGACAGTAAAGACATGGAAACCCGATGTATGGGAGCATCTTCACTTTGGGCTCTGCTCCACAACAATCAGAGGGTACACACACACACACACACACACACACACACACACACACACACACACACACACACACACACACACACACACACACCTGCTATTGTGCACTGACTATTCCATTATTTGGATTCTGATGTACCGCACAGTGCCAATTAGAGGTGTGACTTCTAAACTTGTACTTATATCACCAACCATTTAAACGTTAATTAGTTGGTTTTTTTTAAATGTGGTAACATGCACATGTCACTGCACAAAGCACTCCGCAACAGCAGTGCATATACAAGAGAGATGTACGGACAGTGGACCTTATCGCTCCCTCGGTCTCTCTCTGTTGATGTGATTCTGCACTCTTATCTCTCCGCAGAAGTTGAGAGGGAAGTTTTTTTTTTTTTTAAATCGGGAGGTGTGAGGTCCTCTCGCGTGTCAGCACTCTCTCTCTCGCTCTCTTGTGCACGCCGCAATTTTATGAATAAATGAAAAATTAAATAAAATCAGGTCGGAAATATACTTGGGCGGCCCATCCAGGTATCATCTATGTGTGGGAACCACTGCGTTTATTTAACAAGCCTGACGCCGCCACGCGCTGCCCCCCCCTTAACATTTATACGTTTAAACGTTTGACCAAATTGCTAAACGTTTCACATTGGCCCAAAAAACATTTAAACGTTTTGCACCCCACCCGGTGTCAATTTATTCTTAGCATGTCTTCACTGTGTGGGGTCCTATAAAAACATATATCTGCTTAAAACGTTGTCTAGTTCGATCGTATAGAAAGAGATGACCAACTGTTTTTATCACCTGATTATGAACGGATAAAAGCTCTCCCTCTTTCTAATCTGTCTCTTTAATTTCCCCTCAAAGGCCAAGACTACTTTGAAGTGTCCCTCTGTTCGATTAAGAATAGAGGAGGCACAAAGCATCTCTAAGAAAGGTATACATTTATTCACTTTGATAATGTCCCTTCTCAACATTAGCTTTTGTGTGTCCTGTTGTTTACATCTGTTCCTTTACTTTCCTGTAGCAGCAGACGAAGAGAACAAGCAGGAGCCAGTGAGCGCCTACCTGTTGAAGTGCCTTGAAAACCTTTCCCAGCTGCTCAATAAGTGATTATCTATTGTCTGTTTTTAAATCATGTTTTATACATATCTAAGATGAATTCATTTTGATAATAAAGAGCTAAGTGTCAGAATTAAACTTTTGACTTGTGCGGTCGTAATTCATATGAGCACCAATGAGAATGATTTTGCATGTTTCAGGAAGTGACCCCGTTGTGGCTTTAAACAGATACATATTGGTTGTGGTGTTCTTTTTTTTTTTTTTTCACCCAATAGCACACTGAATGAGTTGGTGATAAATAACACAGACACTAAAAACCATGTGTTGATGTGTATTTGTCAACCTCTGCATCGGTCTTGAAACCTTTCTGTGTTCTAACCTCTCTCCTTTTTTCAAAAGCATCTCCAGTATTTAATCTAGTCTTACCACGTGCCTGTCTTGGAGCCTATTAGATAAATGCAGAGGCTTTTTAGGTCGGGTACAATCAGTTGAACCAGTTCACTTGCCCTCTTCCTCGCTGCAACACCTGTTGGTTTGCCGTTTGCCTGGCAAACTGAGGGGCGTCAAAAAGGGCCGTGTTGGGCTGCCTCGAACTGCCTTTCTTCTCAAAGGTCAAAGGTCAAAAAATAAACAGACCATTCTGCACCAGAATTGAAACTTAGGAGGACATACTGGCTGCTGCAATGTTGTCAGAGGAGCAAAGACTTCAAACTAGCATGTTTCCTAAATGTCTGAGGATACAGTTAGGTCATTTTGTGATTTTCAGTAGATATCTCACATATATGACCTTTAAATCTCTTAAATCATGTAGAGCTGTCAGTAATTCAGTCTGAATAACGAAAGTCAACCTCATGGGTGTGGGAGCACTTTGGGAAAACTCTAGGGTTAGCCTGATTTATCCTCTGGGTACCATAAATATATACACCAGAATTTATGAAAATCCAACCAAGAGTTGTTGGGATCTTTCTGTCTTTGCAAAGTGATGGACTGACACACCAATATTGCAAAGTTGTATTTCAGAGATTATCATCTCTGAATGATTGTTGACGTTTTTTTAAATACACCCAAAGTATTCAAAAGGAAAGGTATAAATAGTAATCAAGTTCAAAACCTTTTCAAAGTATCCACATTTTTCAAGTACTAAGTGAATAATCACTGCAAATAGAACATCTCGGTCTGGGTCCCACCTTGCAGTGTTACACCATAAGCTTGCCTCCCATTCCCAGCACTGGTGATAAAGTGGCCCACTGTGTGGGATGAGCTAACAGAGTGGGCTAAGTGTGAAGTGTACCCCCCCCAGTTGCTCAAGTGTTTGTCTGTAGCCAGAGAGCTAGCAGGAAGTGCAGCTCGGGTGCATCACTTCTCGTCTCATCAATGCTGCTTTCATTCTCCCTCGGTGGGGCAAGATGGAAGCTGTACAAAAGGACCACCGGTACTTCGTGGTACTCATCTTTCTTCCTTTTCTTAAAGGTAAGGACTTTAGCTTTTACTATTTTGTGATTCAGGAGTGGTTATGTGTTAAATGAAAACCCTAAAACTAACACTCAATGTGACTTTTAGAAGTGTAATTTCCCTGAATATTTTTAGACTCTTTGATAGACTGCATTCTTAAATTAATTATTCTGCAATTTATTTTTAGTTGAGCTGGTTTAAAAGACTGTACGAAGGCTTTTTATTCCCAGTTTTTGCAAGATATTATTATTCTAAACCTGCCAGAACTCTCCCAGGGGCATCACTGGACTTGAAATCAGATGTCATTCAGCTCGTATAAAAGGTTTCGGAAAAAACTTGGAAGCTTGATCACCGACTATTGTCAGATGTGTTTATGTGTACTGGCTCAAATAAGCCTCATTAGCATTACCCCAGGGATGGCCTCAGAGCTGTGAATGGCTGTGTTAATCTTCAACCAGAAGATTTAGGAGGGGAATAAGTGTGATTATATAAGTGATTGCTAAACAGCATGGATATAAATATAATTTCTTAGTATTCACAGATAGCTATTCTTCTTTAAGTACATACTTAAATTTGTACTTTCTTTGTTGCATCTTTTAATATAAGTCATGATATCTATTTCAAAGTTCTGGCACATTAAATAAACTGAAAGCTGCACTCTTTACAGTCGCTGTCCAGCAGAAAGATGCCGTCACAGTCCATCTGGAGGAAGGCATGGTTCTGGACTGTTTGTGCCCCTGGAACGGCAACCTCAGCATGGTGTCCTGGAATAAAGTGCCAGACAAGGAACCTGTAGCTGTTTTCCATCCGGAGTATGGCGTAGCTTTCTCTCAGCATTATCGGGAAAGGATAGAGTTCCTGAGGACAACGCCGATGGATGGAAGTATATCCATGAGGAACGTCACTCACCAGGATATCGGGCTTTATCACTGTTCTGTTCAGACCTTCCCCCAAGGCCCCTGGACGAGGAACATTCAGGTGGAGGATTTAGGTAAAAGATTTTGGCAGGGATTACTGAAGTGGAAATTCTGAGTCATTTTAAATCAATCCCCCCCACTGAGTGACTAAGAGAGGAACAAGAATCAATGTTGTAAATGAATGTTCTTTATTTCCTTCATGTGGTTTGATTTCTTTCTTCCTGAGAAGCTATTTCCTCTCTGTCCTACACCTTTTTGTTTTACAGATACACCCCCAGAAGAAGACGATAGCCCAGAGCCGCCCACCCCAGAAGATGTAAGAGTGGACACGGAGCTGGTAGCAGAGCGGAACAACAACCTGACCATCAAATGTAACCACGTGCACAACGGCACTGTCTACCAGGTCATATTGGAGAAGATGCCGCACAGCGAGCCTTGGAGCATTATCGGAGTGTGTAAGAAGGTGGAGGGGGGCCTGGTGGGAGAAGACTACAGCGACAGGGGGGAGGTGAGCTGTGCAGACAGCCTGGACGTCAGTCTGCATCTGACAGGCGTTGTGCCGGAAGACAGCGGCTTCTACCGCTGTACCTTTAGCACGGACACAGGAGTGCAGACCACCACTGTGCTGCTCACTGTGGCCCCTCCAGGTACAACATATACATGATCTTATGAGTTCATTATTTTGAAGTTGATACGAAAAAGGATTTATGGATGCAAATATGTCCACAGAGTGCAGAGATTTAAGAAACACAATGAATGTAATAAAACAATTGTGATGTTAACCCTAAGCGTGTCAGTAGAGTCAGAGTCAACCACAACATCCTGTGTCATGTCTCACTTCACTGTTTCCATAGAGCTGTGTGTCTGCACACTGCTTTAACGTGATGTGGTGTCAGGGTTAAAACACAAAAAAATGACACGTCAGTCACCACTGACACAATGACCACAGCTTTCTGTTGAGTAGGAAACATTGCTTTCAGTACAATTTTGGTTTTGATAGCATTACGTTCTCTCATTTTATACCCAGGTGGATTCAGCCTGTCTATGTACATGATGTATATTTACATCGGGGCTGGAGCTGCAGGGCTAATTCTTCTCATGGTCATTATTATACTCGCAGTGAGGCACAGGTAAGATCACATGATATGGGTCAGTCTTATTTAATTCAAACTGCTAATGGCACTTCAGTCTGAAACAATAAGATATGTTGAGTTGTAACTTTAAGGCCAACAAAACTTAAAGCTACTGTGAGGAACTTTCAGTTTTTGTTGATCTTTGTGACCGCTGTGGACAAAGTTGTACCTCTATCTCTTTTCTTTTTGTCCTGTTCATGTGTAGGACAAAAAGGACTGCTACTTTTTACCCATCAAACTTACCACTGACTTTGACTCTTTTCTGCCGAAATTGTAAAAAAAAGGCCCCTCAGATCCATGCGCCTCGTCTGACCTCTAACCCATGGCGGCAGTGCAGAGCATTATGAATAACTATAAAAACAATAATTAGTCTGATCAGTCCTCACAGGAGCTTTATACTTCACAATCTAACAGTTGAGCTAAAGGCTAACGTCAGCATGCTAACATGCTCACATTGACAATACTAGCATGCTGAGTTTTAGCAGTTTATTTTTTCTTTTTACCATCTTAGTTTAACATGTGAACATAGGCTTACTACTGGGGCTAATGGGATGTCATTGGCATATCCAAGGCAGATCAATCTACCACAAAGGTTTTCCATCTTTAGGGGGGCATGAATATCTGTCCAAGACTCCCCAAATTGTGTTTATTGTTGAGATTTATTTATTTTCTAAAGAACTACTGAGACTCAGGTTCATACTCGTGGTTCTGCAGTGGCCACCAAATTATTTGGACTGTAATTGTTTTGGACGATTTCTACTTGAGACCTGCCAGCAATGGTCATATGTTCCACTACTGTTGCTGACTTCTGCAACTGAAGCCCCATTTGTTTTTTGAACTTTCTTGTCTTTTCCTGTTCCCACATTTAATCATCTGAATTGTGGGAGTTTTCACCACCACGTTTGAAACCATTGCACTAGATGTAAAGTTGGGCAAAGTCATTAAAATGTATCCTCCTTGGACAATTAATTCAAAAATGATCAAATTGCACTACATTTCGAAGTGATCTAACATTTTTTTTTTTTTGTCCTGGATGAAAACAGCTAACATAGTTAAAGATGTTACAATCTGTTCTTTTATGATTTATAAAAAAAAAGAATCAGTACATTCTGAGGTCACATCTGAAATTACCCATTGCTAAAAACAAGTGCTTCCCCCCCATTTCTGTTGCACAACACAAAAATCCCAGCAGGAAGAGGAACAGGAGAGAAGAGTACAAAGTCAAACTGCACCCATCTCAGAGTCAGGTGAGCCTCACCTTAGTAATCATTTCTACTCTTGTCTTCACACTCGACTCTTTTACGGCTCTTCCTTACCTTCTCTTCAGACATGCACTGAATTATAAAACTGTTCCTCTTTATTAATCAATAAGTACCAACTCATCCTGTTCTTCATACAGCACATTCTGTCTTCATGTAAACATCGTATTTGTGCTTTTTACTCAACTGACGCTGCTTCACTGTGACTGACCATGTAGTAGATGTTTCATAATATTAAATTCATCTTTTTAACAAGAACACAAATTGGTTGAAAATGTAATCTTTTATCACATATTATACATTGGGATTGTTATAGTCACCAATGAGTACTATATTCAAGTGAAGCTACTTCCATATATTCTTTTAGGTCAATTTCTTTTTTCTCATTTTATTTGGTTGAGTGAGGGAGTACATCAGTACATTCATTGTTCCAACATAACTACTAATCATAGTTTCATAAGAAAAGGAAAAACATCACATTTCATTGATAGACCCGGCTTATATTGTTTACTCACACATACCATGCATCTACATCCAAATCTATCTCATAGGCTGTTCTCCATCCATCACCCACAAACTTACACTTTGAAAAATAAATTATTAATCCATGGCACACTGAACACAACTTTACTGTATTTTATTGTGAGTGAACAACAAGTTTCACCTGTAGCTTCCTCAGGTTGTTCCCAGCACAGTCACAGGGCACACACAGGTGTGTTAAACACAAATAGTCACATGACCAATCATCACAAAAAACATTATTCCGGGTCACAGCCTTAAATGAAACTATAACATTCTAAAATAAAATAGTCATCCATGTTATTTTTGCACGTTATATTTTTCATTTGTATTAAACACACCTGTGTGTGACTGTGCTGAGCCAACCTGAGGAAGCTATTGGCGAAACGCGTTGCTCACTCACAATAAAATACAATAAAGTTATTTTCAGTGTGCCACGGATTATTGATTTATTTTTCATGGTATGTTTCTGCAACGGAGCGCACCTGAGAACTTCTAGGCTGGGCCCAGGGTACCCTGTTGGTCATTTATATATACAGTATATATTTCCATACACAAGCACCAAGAATTACAAACACACACACGTTTTATGACTCTTTAAGGTCCATTTCTTATAAAGTAAAACTTGAATAAAATATATAAGCAATCTTTTGATACAAATTTTACTTAATATAACTCTATATCTGAAGCTCCTTTTTTTTGTGTGATTTGGTACAATGTAAATACATGTCATCATAAAGAGGAGATTTAGATTGGGCCCTTTCTTATTTTCTTATTTTGTGTTTTTTTGCATGCTACTGCAGTAACACCTCTGTGTCTAACACCTCATCTACTAATACAGCCTATCTTAAATCCACAGAACAACCTCTATGAGAACATCTCCGTGTGCAGTAGGGCAAAGAAGCCCAGGCAGATCAGAAATGCTCCAGTGTACGCCAACATGCAGACAATACAATCATACAAAACCACTGCAGGTTATCCCTCTGCAAATTTAAGTATAAATCAGCAAAGAAAACAAAAAAAACCACATAAGAACAGGAGCTCATAGTCGTTATTTTATTTTGTTTTTTTAAATGGGAAGCATGCAGGGATCACAGTGACACTGATTCATATTCATACTCTGGTTTGAAAAGGAAGCAAGATGGGGCTGACAGATTGGCTTTAAACATGTCTTGCTCTTATTAATTAAATGTAGTATGTACTCCATAATTACTGTTGAGGATATATTTGTTTGGGGCAAAACAATAGTTGACAGTTACCGTCACGCAGCGAGAGAAGACAAAGGCCTGGATAATCATTCTTTTCACTTCCTCAACCCCTGAGTAAAACGATTGACAAAAGCCTGTATAATTGCTCTCCTTTTACTTTCATCCCTCCTGGTTTCCATTCAAAGCCTGACAATGGTGTCTAATCATCTAACAGAAAAGAAAAGCAGTCACTCAGCGCTGTACCATCGCATGAGTCTGTTGCTTTCCCCAAAGGGCTCTGTGTCTTGTATGGCTGCATCCTAGTTACAGAAGGCTTATATTATGAAAGCTACTCTAATGAGCTAATCCTGTGCTTATGTTTAAAACGGCTCTCCTTTGTCTAGTTTATTGATAAAATATTTTGTTTCTTATTTTGAATCATACATACAGTTTTTAACGCCAAGATGTCACAGGATTTCTTCTTTGTAGATGATTGCTAAGCTTGCCTATGTGCTCTTGTAAATCATTATTTAAAGTTTATGGACGTACCTCGGAGCTGTGTGTTGTTTATTTGTAATCTGATTCATTTATCTCCATAGAAATGGAGGCAGTGGCAGAGGCAGTAATGGATATGCAGGCTATCCTGCTAGGAAACAAGACAAATGTGGACAAGTTAGAAATATGGAACTCAAAGAGACAATATAGTTTGGAATCGAAACTTTGCCTTCATTCTCTCATCTTGCTGTTCCTGGAAAACAGAACAAGCTGCAAGTTTACTTTTGACTTTGAAACCTGTGATACTGTGTGGGTGACCAGCAATAGTGAAACTGATATGTGTGACTGTAAATGACTCCAAATGAAAATAAAAATGTGTCATGACTGCTAACATGTTTATTTCTTCTGTTGTGGGAGTGTGGCATATGAAAGCTGAACTAAATAAAATATATACTGTAAATGTCTTTAGAAAAGACAATTATCTACATATTTTGTGTTTGAGGTATTACAAGTTTGACATTTTTGAAAATTTGTTTCAATACAACAGAGCCCCTGAAGGCCCAAAAAGTAAAATAAAAAAAATTAAAAGTTAATATGTGCACAAATATATTTTGTTTCTACTTTTTGAGACTTCAGGGACACCATACATTACAGAGCATTAGAAAAAAAGATTAATACCATTCATGGATTTGTTATAGCCGTTGATTGGCTTAGCTTAGCACAAAGACTGGACAACATGGAAAATTAGGGTATCTAGCTCAATATTTCTAAGTGACTTCTCTGCTAAAAGCACAACATTATTCATTATATCTTCTTAGTTTTCTTAATTTGTTTTTCCCATAACACCACTCATTTTCCTTTTCTTTTTTATACATTTTGAGTTGAGAATTTCTTTATAAAGCGCTCTCTGATAACATTGGAATAAGCAAGTTTTCTGTTTACAACCTATGACAAGATACTGTGCTAAAGCTTAGCTAAAAGGACGCTAGCCTTATTCTTGCTCAATCATGAGTCAAATCAATCTACTATTAAAACTCTGCATAAAAGCAAACAAGTATCAAACAATTGTCTTAATGAAATACTACCTACCTTGACTCCGAAATTCCCTGCTAGCTTAAAAAAGTTGATACATGTAGAACATTCAATTTATTACCCTTTCATCATCAGAAACATTACATATGTACATTTAGTGAAAACTGTAGTACTACACTCAATGTGTTCAAAGTGCTAATAACATGTAACCTGACAATAACTGAACACAAACGAGTTTGACACAATTACAATCATGAAGCAACAGATAACATGACATTCCTACAAACAAGTGAATGGCTACAACATACATATGCCAAAAAGAATAGCAAATGATAAACACAGATATCTAGAACTTTCCTTCAGTCTGCAGTTTGTACTCGTTCTAATGGTCCAGATGTAGTGGATCTTTTACACATACATTTATTTATCACACTTGAGCTTAAACCTCAAGACTACACGAGCAGAAATGTGCCCAGACATGTCAACAGCTGTCTGTAATAGGGACTCTGTGATGCAGACACAATTGTAGATTCGTACTTCACTTGAGGCTCAACTTAATAAAAACATACGAGCTATTTAAATACAATTGACAAAATAAAGTGCCTGATAGCAAAACTTCAACATAAAATAAGTGCTTGTACTTGAATTTCAAGTTCTAGGGAGCTATTTCTCTGTACTTAAAACTAAAAACTCAAAGGAAGTGCTCTAATGTTGATCAAAGAACGTATTTGCTGCCTCAAACTGATTGTCATTGGAATCTATTTTATAATTTCTGAGTTGTTGCTTGGCTTTTCCGGATTTGAGAGATCTGTGTGTTTCTTTAACCTCACAAAAAGTACAACCATTTTAACCACAAATACTGAAAGACGGGACTAAATGTGTTGACAGCCACCAACAGGCAACAAGTGTTTTTCTTATCTCTAAAGGAGCTCGAGGAAAGGTTAGGATTAGAAGTATTTCATGTGGGATATGGCATTTCTGAGGCTACTGGGACTTTAGACGATTAAATATAGGTTATTGAAGGTTCAGTGCTTAATTTTGTCTACAGCGGTAAACTAAAACCCAAAGATGGTGATTTGGGTGTGTAGGTCTCACACTCTGCGGTCTTTGTTGGAAGGCACTTTTTACTTGAGGAGGACATTGCAGAATATCGTCACAGGGATCACGTAGGCTAACTTCACTCACATTCTACAGAAAAGATTTACTGAAATATTTAATGGTTTTCTGTTATCTCTTTTTACCACAATTACTACAATGATTGTTTCTTGTTCGTATTCTTGCTAATGGAAAACAAAATGGTATAAGGTATAACAAATAAGGTAAAGGTCTGAGATGCTTTTAAACACCAATGATCAGTCATTTTTATAATGGAAATGTTGCTTATGCAGTCTTTTGAATGCTTGACAACAGTTGGAGATGAAGATTTAATCAACTCTCAAGTCTGTAAGCAAAAACTGAAGCTAGCGCTAACATCTGGTTAGCTTAAACTTAGTTCAGACAATGGTAACAAAACCACATACCAGCACCTCTAGAGTTCACAAAATGAATACCATATATCATTTATTTACGCCGTACAAAAGTGCAAATACAAGCTGTGGTTTTAAAGCTGCTGGTACGCAGTTGTTTTTAAGCCTCAGCCTGACAAATATTTATAGTTGACAATCCTTGTTGTCAACCTATGATGCTATTATTTAACTCTCACTATCAGCTCATCACCATCTTTGTTCTCACATTTTGCTAATGAACCAGTTACAAATGCTGTAGAGGAGCTAGGAAACCATTAAACCCAGATTGCTTTCCCACTGTAGGGTCAGCAGTTTAAAATAGAGGATTTGCGGAAGTTACCTTCTCTCATCTCTGACTTGACAGTCCACTCTTACATACTCTTTTTTCGGAATGACGCTTTCCCTTTGCTGGTTGTTACCGAATAAGAGCTTTAGCTGATCCATCACTGCCTTCAACTTGGAACACTTTTCTGTGTGACTCATTGATCAATTTCACATTCTTGAGAGTGGGTAAAAAAGTACATAAAAGTTTGGGAGAATGATGTGTCAAAAAATGGCAAAATTTCTCTGGAATTGGTTGCTGAGGCAGCAAGCTGTTCGAGTGAGTCTAATGTGATTTTATCCATTTCACACAAAAAAACACCTTTTCTGATCATTTTTTAAAAGTAGAACCTGACGTGTTCGTAAATATAACATCTTGAAAAAAAAATGTTTCATTGATTAAAAATCTGAGTTCTATGGGCTTTGACAACAAATGAACAAAAAAAAACTACACTTTCATGATTTTTGGTGCATTTTTGTAGCTACTGTTGTTGCCACACAACATACAAAAAAAACAATTCAGGTTAATTTCCATAAACCAGTCACTCTACAGCAGACACTATGAAATGATATATTACACATGTCACTATACATATTTCTACATCCTTTCTACAGTAGTGGGCAAAGTGTTCAGTTTTGGGGAAGCCATTCTTTGTCATTGAAGCGGTCTTAGGCTGCAAGTGGATTCACAGCCACTAGAGGGCGACGGTGCCTCTTCCTGGTGCTGGCTCTCCCCCTGTTCTGGCTCATCAGATAGAAAGCTGGGGAACGTCTGTGCTCGAGGGATGAATGTCATTGACAAGCTGCTTCCTGTAGAAATAACAAGTGGGAAAGGAGTCAATGGAGCTCTTCTTTAAAGCAGAATAAAACGTAATCTCTCTTTTTTTTTTTTTTACTTTATTTTCCGTAACAAACAAGTCCTGTTTTCTTAGACAATATGTTGATGGATACAACTGTTGCTTGGTTACAGCCCATGCTGATGTATTCATATGTTGACAAAAATAATCCTGGTGTTCTTCATTTAGAGAAAAAATATATTTAAAGCCTTCTGATGTAGGTGGATCTTACATAATGCAAAAATATATATAAACCCATAAAAGTACAATAGTTACAGACATGAGAGAAAATCTAACTTTTACCACAAGCATCTTCATTTCATAACGATTTACACTTGTATTTGTCTTTTTCAAACGCCTCCTTCCTTTCCTAGCTCTCACTCCACCTTTATCTAGATTAATTGGACCAATTTGTTCTGCAGTTCATCCTGGTTAAGTGAACTGAGAGAGGGGGAATGGATACTTGTGGGTGGAGGGCTGTTCTGTGCAACTGCGAGACCATTAATAATATATTAGGATGCTGTTTGGAGATGTGCTCAGCTAGGTAGGTTGAGGATAAAGTGGCTGGCAGGCTGCTGATCATGCACCGAATAAGGAGGAAGTGGCCACTGATGAATATTTCAGGAGGTGCAAAATCTAAAACACTGTAATCAAGTCCAACTTAAGAACAAGCTACCTCCAAATAACAGGTGACTGCTGCTTGTCACCTGTGTGTAGCATAGCTATAAATATGTGTAGTCTTTAAATCAAATAACTTTAACTGGATAGTTGAAATCTGATTGGAAAGAAAACTTTCTATAAGTAGTCATCTTCCAGAAAAGCATAGACAAAACTCTCCTGCAATAGGTAATAGTCATAGCGGATTTCCATTCATTGCAAAGTGAACTCATTTACACACACACACACACACACACACACACACACACACACACACACACACACACACACACACATACATCTTTTTTCTGCGTGTCCCCGTCACACTGTCACCAGAGAGAGTCAGGGCTCAGACCGTGAGATGCACTGCAAACCTCACAACACGTCAGAATATAAAATATGACTAAGTCAGCCTGGTAATCAATGTCAAGTGGATGTGTGAATGTGTGTCACAGAGAGTCACGGAGGGAGAGAAGTCTTGTTAAAAACAGAAGTAGTGATGCAGAAGTAAAGAAAGACAGGGTGAATAGAAAGCGAGAGAAGAAAAAAAACACTTTCCTGTGTGAAGTAAGGGAACAGCAAGACAGAGGGGCTGGTGTGGGGGTGAGGATGAGACCAAAACAGAGGCAGCCATGCAGGTGAGTCATCCCCCACCCCAACACACACACACACACACACACACACACACACACACACACACACACACACACACACACACACACACACACACACACACACACACACACACACACACACACACACACACACACACACACACACACACACACACACACACACCTCTGTCCACAAGTCTTCCCTTCCACCTCTTACTGGAAAAAAGAAAAATGAGATAAGGCTCCAGCTTGAGGTTTTAAATGCAGCTCAGTTCATGAACTGCAAGTAAAAAAAAAAAAACTGGAACACTTTCCTTCCCCTCCATATTGTATTTAATAGATTGCTGAAACGCCTGGTGCGCAACCAGGCATATCCTTTTCACATCTTTGCCAAGACAATCCCTCCTCAAGCAAGGCCAATTTGGTCTGATAAAAAATAAGGCAGGAAGCCCAGTTCAGTCATCTTCTCTGTCATTAACAGCAATGTTTTTTGATGGACTATACATTTTGGATGCAGTCCCGTGACGTCATCTATCGGTTTATTGACTGCCTTTTTGAAGCCATGGTTTGGCTGGTTTCTGTTTCCAGAATTACCATATTTGAACAAGAGAGGGACCCTTGAGAGGACCCAAGTCATCAAAGCTAAACATTCTACACCTGAGGCAAAGTCATTAGCTGGCCTGTCTCAGAACCCATCAGCTATCAGTCAAGACTTGATCCTTTTCTGTGCTTGTGTTGCTGGCTTTGTTTACAGTCCGACTATCAACATAAGAAGCAAGAATTGATGTTTGCATGCAGATCTGTCTTAAGACAGTAATTAACGCTAACTTGTTGTTAAAATCTGCTATGTTCTGTGATTATTTATTCCCCTTTAACCTTCCATGTGGACCATTTTACTGCGTATGGATAATGTCTGCTGATAAAATCGGTTGATGTTACTTCTTGTACTACAAACAAAACCATAACACTTCCGGTTCCAACATGTTTCCTTGGCATTAAGACTGAAAAAAATCTAAGACAATTTTTGTACAGTAGCTTGTCTGCATCCCCAGTGGTAGAACACAAAATAACTTATATAATAATAATATAAATATATAATAATATAATTCCAGACCATTGTAACTTCTTCAGGGAAAAACAAACAAAAATGTTAACTCCTTTGCACTGTCATACAAACTGAATGTCACTGAATGACTTTACAAGTCAGCTACGGTGAGTGCAGACACCAATTCCTGCCAATTAATGCTGAAATATAAATAAAATATTAGATTATAGATTTACATAGATTTTACAAGAAAAAAGAAAAAGGGGTACGCACATCCAAAGAAAAACTAACACACATACTGGAAGCCTTAAAAAAAGGCTGGCACACTGTAATAAAAGCTCCCAACTTTAATTTCAAAAGCAACGTCTCAATCTCACAGATCTTCTTCAGGCATTGTCAAGTCAACATCACGACGCAAGACAAGCAATGATAAGGCACAGACACATTCATGACACAGGTGATCTGTGATCTGCATGACTGACAGTGAACCTGCTCTCAAGTTGGACCAATCAGAAGCAGAGCTGGACAACACTCTATGATACCCCCGTATGCAACATTAGTGCCATAAACCACCCAGCAAAACGTAGTATCAACGACACAAACAAACACACCAAACAAAACGAGTGAGAGGTTACCAGTTTAGCTCAATATGAGATAAGTTTAGTGAATTAATTAGCCGTGGCGATGTCTAGCAAATTGCCACTAGGCCCACCTGTCACTTAAAAGCGGCCATGCCCCTTATTATGCATAACTTTTAGGCTTAATACAATTAAAATGATGAGTCATGTTAAATTTAAACCCATATTCAGCAGTCATGTATCGTACAAAACAGGCTGTAAACATGTTTATTTCTGCGCTGTGCATTTTCAATGTGGGGCTCTATGGAGATTGACTCACGTTGGCAGTGGGCCTCAAGTGGACAGTGGAGGTACTGCAGTTTTTGCCACATCTGCATTGGCTTAATCTTTTTTAACACCAGAGGCTCCCACTTGAGATTGTTATGTGAAGCCAGATCCCTGATAAGATCCACTCTTTTTGCAAAAGAAATACAAACATTAACATGTTTTTAAGTATCAAACACAAAGAGAGAAGAGGGTGTCAGCGACCTCCTCTACCTCCTCCTCCCCTGTCCTTGTGAGGAGCAGACAGTGATTTGTCAGTGCCTTTTCATTACCAGAGAAGGTCATGTCATCCTATCTGGCCCGGGGTGGCAGCTGCAGGGCCCGAGCAGACGGGACAGGTAGGGAGGGCACTAAGGCACACACACAGAGTCCTACAGATACAATGGCGTTCCTGGATACAGAAGCACCTCTTCATGCATGTCTACACAAAAACACACCTGTCTGCACCTTCCTTCTACACAGTGCCATAACCCAGCCGGTGTACTAGTCACAGCTGTAACCAGAGGAAGAGGCAAACTCTGGATTATGCGAGGCTGCTGACATGAATCTTTGTCTTTATTTGTGTGGTAAAACAGAAGTGAAAAATAGTCTCCAGGATTCATAAAGCTTCAGCTGCTGACTGAAAACTTCCCAACAATCGATCACAAAGAAACCAAAGCAGCTGAAAACAGTTTTATCTGTGATGAATATTTTATGGAATTTTTGCTATCGAAATATACTATGTTCCTTGTCCCCTGCTGCAGATAAGATAGTGCTATCATCCTGTTCTCCTATCGTCTTGACCCTGTGCCTCTAATACTTGCACCCTCTCAGTAACACTCCCAGCTGATCCCAGAATCGCACTCAGTTCTATTAGAATTGCTAATGCTTCAGCACTAAACAGTAAAACACAAAGAAATTCAGAGAATAAGAGAGACTGTTTCTGTGTGTTTCTGTGCAAAATGTAAAAAAAAAAAAAAATTACAGTAATAAAATGAAACCAAGTAAAAGAAATACAGACATTCTTGTTCCCTTTCCATCCCCACTATTAGTCTGTAATTGAAGTATTTCCGACAGGCAAGGCGCCTTTGCTCTTTCAGCTCCGAAACTTTAAAGTGCACTTATTTGTATGCATCAGCAACCTCACAAGAACACAGCAGTTTCAGTGAAATGCAAAAGAGTGAATAGCATTAGGAGAGTAGAGGTGGGAAACAATACAACGTAGATATATCGTTTTATCCTACACTTTCTAGACATTAAAACATCTATGTGAGGTTTTAGTTCAAAAAATATTTTTATTATGGGATATTAGGATATTAGGTTACATTTTGTTTTATAGAGCTATAAAGATGATCCAGCATAACTGTTTTTTTCTCCTACAACCCCCCCACATCCCTTACCTTTAAACAAAACACATTTGAACATTATTACTTTCAATTATGGCAAACTAGGCTTTTGGGGATGTATTTTTGAAACACTTCCAGCTCAATAAAAACAGATGTGACATCAATTAAAATAAAGGAAAACTTTACCGCCAGCTTCCTGCGTTAACAGGGGGAAAGAAATAAACAAATAGGTGAATAAACCTCAATGGGACAGGAAACTGTGTTCCTTAATTATTCCCCCGGACCCGCAGGGTATTTGAAAGCAACCCGAGCATGACTCAGCAAATTGACTGTGCTGATAGGATATTCATCACGCACGCAGGGAGCCAAGGAGCTGATCAGCCAGCCGTCATGGTCCAAATTCCTTATTTCTTATACCAATTTGCTGCTTAATCCATTTTGGCTAATATCAGCATTATTAGAGGAAAATAAGCTGATGTTTCTGTTACTGAGTCCAGGAGAAGCCACCATCCACTTCTATAGGTGAGTTACTGTTGGAGATGTACTTCTTGAAGAGATGTTCCTGGAAGTTAAACTGCCAGAAGTTGTACATAAATTACAAGAGTATCTTAAACATATTATAACCATCTCCTTCTATGAACAAGTAACATAATGTACAAAAATAAATTAACAACTTAATATCAGTCTGACTAAAAGCAGTGTGTCAAATAGAATAGATGTTTTTTTAAAGAAGGAATGTACACCATGATTTACTTTATTAACCTGAGGTTTGAAAAATAACTTTTTAAAAGTAATCAGTTCAAATTGTATTTTTATTTTCATAATTTGCCAATCAACATAGGAGCGAAATGTTTCTGAGAAAATACTCTCATTCCCCCTGCACTTTCCGTTCATGTTACAAGGTGAAGGGTTAGACGAAAGAAGACAATTTGTGACGCTATCAGAATTGTTCCACCTCTTGTGACCGCACCATCCTGAACAGACCCAATCTCGTCCAGGATATCGCGTTCGGGCCGTGTTAGCTTAGTACGCGAGAGTTTGTCCAGCCTCCGCTGTTGCTAAGCAGGAAATGCTATACTTCCAGCTCTGTGAATAGGGACCCAGCTATAAAATTATAGAACAGTAAAATTGACGACTCACATCATCCCTCTTAGTGGGTGGGTTTTATTATCACTAACTTTATGACAACTTCCACCTGATGTAGAAGACCAAATTCACAAGCTAGCTAGCTATACGACTCCTGCCATCTAGTAAAAGCTGTGAGCCATGTTGCAAGCACTAGACGCATCGTGTGTGTGTGTGTGTGTGTGTGTGTGTGTGTTGTGTGTGTGTGTGTGTGTGTGTGTGTGTGTGGTGTGTGTGTGTGTGTGTGTGTGTGTGTGTGTGTGTGTGTGTGTGTGTGTGTGTGTGTGTCTGTCTGTCTGTCTGTCTGTCTGTCTGTGTGAGCATGCATGACACGCCTTCCACAGTCCAAAGATCCGGTGTCGCGAGGGGAGCTAAACTCCTGTCACTCCCCAGAATCACCTTGTCATCCTCGTTGTCAGACAAGACCTTTTTCCTGCTGTGTCCTCAAACACACTGATGCATTCAATTTATTCATGGGAGAGGAAGGGAGATAATGTTTCGAGCTGAATGTGTGCAAGCTGAAGGTGGAGGGTTGTTTTGAACTGGACAGACACACAGAGAAAGTGTGGGAGGAGCAGTGGAGATGCCAGGGTGATGGATGAGAGAGGAGCTCCTCTGCTCACCAGAGTTTGGAGAGGAAGAGTTTAAAAACAGGGTTTACAGAGACTGAGCCTATAAATAATGACCCTGAGGTAGAAACTTATTTTTTTACTTAATGTGTTTATGAGTTAAAACATGTTTGGTAGAGAGGACTCTTTTTTTTTTTTTTTTTTGCTTTTAAGTTTATCAGGCCACAATTAAATGATAATGAAAAAAAAAAAAACACAAACACCAGCCACAGCTTTTCAAAAGGAAACAATGACGTCAGAGCGACTTTCATCTTCTGGCCTGGCTTTCTGTTCGGCTCTATCAGTGAAAGCCAAAAGGCCCCTAATCCTCAGATAAATCTACTAATCAACTAATACGATAGACAGAGCATAATCTCATCAGCTCACTAATCACCTTTCTGCCTCTGGTCTACAAACAGACATCAACATTCACACACACAGACACACCTTTTTCCTGAGTGCATGAAGTGAACACAGGGAAAAATACAGACCGATAATTAGGACTCCACAGTATGAGGAAAACATGTGATGTGTAATAATCTCAATATTGCAATAACGATAAGAAGTATGGTTAAAAAAAAAAAATCAAAAATCAAAGAGCCAGTATGTCTCTCTGATGATTTACAATATAAATGTGTTTGCAACATGGTTCTCCTGAATCACAAATCAATTCCATAAACATTTTTTTCAACACTTGTTCTTTACCAAAGAATTTGCAGCAATGTAGCTGATACCAGTCTTTAGCTAGCTAGCTAACTAGCTTTAGCCACATCTGATGGCATCAAAAATGTGTGGAAGCATGCCCAGTATACCTAAGTCTCCATCTAAAGAGTTAATGTACGCTTGCTGAGTAAGAAAGCAGTGATTGTTTACATTAAAGAAATGTCTTATTTATAGCAATAGAGGTGTTTATTGCGAATGCTTGTATCAAAATAACTATGAAAATGGGTTTAATTGCACAACCCTACTGACAACGCTGTTTTGACATTAAATGTCTAATGTACTTACAAGAACACACACAAACTATCTGGTCCATAATCATATGCTATTGATTTCTGTGTTTCTGTTTATGTAATGCTGAATTACGAAATGTTAACAGAGAGAAAAAAATTGTGACTGAATTGAAAACGTTTTTTGTGCTAATTCTGATTAAACTATGAATCTGTCCTTTACCTTTAGCTCTAAATGTACTCAGTGAATTATATCAACAAATAGGTTAAATCAAAGTATATGAGCCGTTTGTAATTTACCAAGAGTTTGCTCATTTTGTCATCTGATTGAGTCTGTTGCTTTAATTCACAAATGTGCATGTCTCATATTGCAGATCAGATGCCAAATGAAGAGCTAAGGTTTTTCTAGGTTTATTTGTGAAATGGGAAGTTTTTATTTAGACTCTCTTTGTTGTAGCCAATTGTCTCTTATTCTTACAGTGTCTCCTGCATGTTCAAATTTCCATAGCACCTTTCTTGTGACAGTCCAGCAGACCAATCAGAAGATAAGTCCAACAAGTTAGTTTCTTGAAACTAATCTTAAGTACTGAGAGTCATTGTTGAACATTAAACATAATATGTCTCATATATTGAAGACATATGAAGAACCAACGCTCAGTTATCATCCCCTTGGTTCCTGAGAAAAACAAGTTATGTAAAATGACACTTCCTCCATCACTGGGTGTAGTATTCCTTCCTTTCTGTCACTCAGTCTTCTTCTTTCTCCACCTGTCTTCCCTTCACCTCACTCAAAGTGCTGCACACATTTCCAGTGACAGAATCAAGTAAAGAAACAGCAACACTTTGCATGACATAATTAGTAGCTTCATGCCTGTACCTTGGTAACTGTAGAGATCTCCCACGCTGTTCTGACGCGTGATGTGCTGCCAGTAGGCGCTGCGTGGCAGGGAGATGGACTTGGTAAGCGTCTCTCTGGAGTGGATCTGAAACAGACACAGAGAGAAAAAACTTAAAGTCTCTCACTTTCTGTCGCTTGCTCGCAACGGGGGAAATTGCTCTAGGTGTATCGGTAAACAAAGAACGTGCGTATACAGTATATTCCGGGATGAATGGCATGTTTCCTCTCTGAATGGCTGCGTGGCAGATGAGATGAGGAGGCATTTGGGATTAGGATGTTGTTGTGCCGCTGGGTGATGTGTTTTAGACTACTATTTGCAGTGTGAGAGCCAAAAAGTGACTTGGTATAAATGAGAGACCCATATTTTAGCAGAATATCTGCATTCACTTTGTGGAATGAAGCAGAATTAGCATATTTAATGATAAGTCCCCCCCACCCTTATGCAACTATTAGTGGTAAGTTTCATGTAGCTGTCCATGTGATTTATAGAGCTGAGGCTAAATGCTGCATTTGGAAAAGTTCCCAAATGGTGAGGTCCAAGTGCACGGCCATATGGTCAAGGCTCATCAAACACTAGGCAGGCCTACATAAATAAAGAATACAGATGATAGCAGGGAGGAGGAGGAGGAGGGGGGCGGGAAAGGAAGGAAGGAAGTAAAGGGATGGAGGGGTGTTATGATGGAAGGAGGGAGCGGAGGCCAAGACCGTGGGGAGTCGGACTCAGCTCCCGGTCCAAGACAGCACAGGGCAATACCTAGAGACACATGCATGTTCACGTGTGTGAAAACCAGGATTTATTGCTCCTGTGTTTATGGGGTCCTAAAAATATTCCAGTTATGTACTTGTTTGATCAGGCTAAATCTTACACTTATGGGAAAAACAATGGAACTATATATATAAATATAATTTAACAGCATTAGCGGTAGATCAAAATATTGATTTGGCATGTTGATGCATGTGAAATAATTATGGAATCATCGGTGCAAGATATTGATATTTTAACAAAAAAAAAAACTTTGGCAGTCTCAACAGATTTAATTTCCAATTAAAACTCACTGCATCATTACTTCATGTCTCCTCACTGTGGCGTTAATCAGATCTCATGATGTATCATTGTATGATTGTACAATACGTATATTATCCCAGAATCACTGTATCGTGATGTTATTGTTATCGTGAGCTACATTTTGCTTGTTGGATTGGATTGTATCATATTGTGTCCCGCCCCTAATATCTGTGTGCATCAACTTCTGTCTCTCTACAAATGATCCCATATTATTAGATGTTTGTGTGTTTATTTGTAATGTTGGCAGTGCTAGAATAAATCAGTGGGCGTCATTGTGACACAAAGACAACCAAAATGTAAAAAATGTACCTGGGAGCTCTTCTCCATCTCCTCCATCATCCTCTCGTGCTGCTGGGCGATGGCCAGCGTGGCCGAGTGGACCCGCTGGTAGATCATCTCCCCCTCTCGCGTCTGGAACGTGAACAAACCCTCTCCTGTGTCACACATCCTGCGCCAGGAACACACACACACACACACACACACACACACACACACACACACACACACACACACACACACAAAGACACACACACACAGACAGAGAGAGAAGTGCAAAGGCTTTGATCGCATTCGCTCTTGGATTGCTGATTTACAAATGTGCATGGTTGAATGTGCGCTTACAGAGAGGCGCGCTGATATAATAGTCCACTGAAGTTAAACTCGCTCACAAATGCGTGAGTAGATACAGTACACAAACAAAGACTAGCACCCACAGAGGCACCTGTCACATCAGTGCCTGGAGGGATCTGCAGCAAACGTTGATATCCTGGGATGTTTTTGGATATCCAAAGTTTCTTTGTTGAAGTTTTTACAACACTTCAAAAAAGTTTTTTATTTTTTTCATTCCCACTGCCAACCCTTCAGTCACACAGACACAAAAGTACGTATCTTCAAGCACACACACCTTCCAGATTCAAAAGTGAACCAAGTCGAGTCTCGTCCGTATCTGCGCAGGGAGCTGAGAGGCCACATGACGAGTTTGAGGCGAGCGTTGTGAATGTCCCACAGGTAGATGTTTTCATGGGTGATCTGCATGGTGCACTCCCCGTAGATGTCCAGGTTCGGCGTGGGCATTAAGTACACGTTGAAACGTTCTGCATAGACAAAACTCTGGATTACTTCAAAAAGAGATCACAATGTAACATTTCTTTCTTACATAGCTACAGTAGCCATGACGCTAGTTTTTTTTTGTCCACATTTTGAAATGTTCTTTCTCTATCCTGGTGTAATTTAGGTGAATAAATTGTAATTTATAGTAGCATTAAAGTGTGACATTAAAAAGATTTAAAACATCCAGATCCAGACACAGTTTGTCCTTGACAGCTTGTATAATCCACAGGACATACTGCGAACAGTTGTGAATAAGACCCCTTATTCAAACAATTATTAGCTTTTTTGCCAGTAGTTACATTTTAATATAAATACCATTTATATACTTATATCTGCAGGCTTAATATTTTGGACTAGCAACAGCCAGAAGCCCTTTAGCTTAGCCTAGCACTGTGACTGACCTGGTGGGTATTGGCGAAATTAGCTCAGTGAAATTTGCTAAATCAGAAACAAGCGCCTCTTAAAGCTAAAAAATGAAATGTTAAAATACAAGCAATTTATTAAACCAAAGCTTTAGAGGTTCTATGCGGGCAAATTGTTGGTATCATGAAGAAAGCCAGGCGACATGTTTCAAACAGTTGCCTTCTTTGCTAAGCTTAGCTATGCTAACCATCTCCTAAATTCAGCCTCAGCACTTAAAGTTGTACGACTTTTTTTTTTATTTAACTCTTGACAAGAAAAAAAATATGTGTGTTTTTCAACACACTAAACCTATTGATTGGTGAATAGGACTGTTTTTGTCAGACAACATCTGAAATTTGACTTGCCTCACAGCAGCTTAATTTACAACACTACAATTAAAGACAAGACAGAAAGACACATAAAGGCTATTTGACACAATGTTCAAAGACTACACAAATATTCAGAGGCCTTAAATGTAATTTTGATCTTGGATTGAACTCCATATTCCGTTTTAGGATTTACTAGGATACAAAAGACTGCTTTAGTCTGACCTCGTAGAAACATGGAACCCTAAATCTCAGGTTTGATTTGAATAGTTTGAAGTATTATTTTAAATTTACACACAATTTCAGATTTTGGTTTTGTCTTCTCATCAGACAAATATTTGTATTTATGGGAATTGATCTATCACTTGCAAGACAAATCATTCTGAATTGTTTTTTTTCTAAAAGGATCCTTTTAGATGTGGCAATTAAACAGATGTTATGTATCTCAATGAAGACCACTCGGAAAAGAAATGACCTGCAAAACATAGTAGCATTAAGTAGTGTCAGATGAAGATAAAAAGTATTGACTCAAGTCAACATTGCATGCATGGTCTGGGTGGACTGTGGAACCAAATTGCCCTCTGGGATAAATCAAGTTTTCCAAGTCTCACTTCAGGAGGAAACATGGTCACCAAAAGACTGAAACAGTATATCTGTTGCACCTTTGACAGAATTTGTACTGTACTCACTTATACTTTGTTTTGTATCCAATGTGGCATATGCAGAGTAAAACAACCCTTTACAGTGTGTACATAGCCATCCGTCGTGCTGTGCTGGGATCAGGGAGCCAAATCTGCCTCTTCACATTAAACAAACTCTCTGAGGCAGGCAGAGGAAAGGAAGAGGGGCAGAGGTCCCCATAATCTAAATTAGTTCTCACTAATTATGCTTAATGATTCAAAATAAGCCATGTGTCTGCAGTGGATAGGAAATGGCAATGTCATAGTGAGGCGTATTTTTAGGGACAGTGAAAATGAACTCTGATCTAATTATGTGCCCCTGCTGTTTGGGGAGGGCTACTAATTGAAACACCATCGAAGGCCCCAAGCTTCTTGTTTCATTCATTAATACAGGCAGCAGAGAGGGGATGGCTCTGTTTGTCTCTGTAACAGTGTAGCTCAGAACAGCAGGACTTGTGCCACAAGAGAAGGAAAAGGGATTGAGTTTTTACAGTCGGCTGGTTCACCGCAGCGCAGTCAAAACTTGTGTATTGATATGTTGAATAAACCGGCCCAAGTTATGTTGGAGAATGCAATTTCAGTTTACAGCTGCAGTGAAATGAAATGGGTTGAAATTACGGCAGATTCTTTTCAATTACTCGCCCTTTTTACAACTTTAAACTGCTCTTCTTTGCTTGTTGCCTTTTCAATTTCCTCTGCGAGTTTACAAATTACACAGAGAATGAGCTCCGCTGTGATAGCAGTGCCCTGTTGTCCACACTCTTTTCCATTTCTATTTCCTGTGAGTGAAATATGTGGGGAAGCACATTTATATCAGATGGCTTCAGGAGCCATAATCTCATTCATCTCTGTGACAAGCTTCATTATGAGGGAAGCCAGTGATGCACAGCACTTCTCATTAGGACTGGAATAGAGCCCCGACCACAGCCTGTGACCTGTGCTCTAACTCACACACAAAAAGGTTTCGGTCAACACACACACACACACACCCAAACGTACTTCAGAAGTTAAACCAACATGTGCTAATGTAACTAAAGACGGAAACAGGGGACTTTTGGATCAGGTATTGACAAAAACTGGCCCTAATTAGCCAGGCCTAATTGGACAGCGCTGTTCTGCTCCCTTAAACCTCTGAGGGCTTGGTTGCATTAACTCATATGGGATTGTAGTGCAACCGGTAAATGCTCAGTGGCGGGAGTGAGAGAGATTGACCCTGAATGGCTGTCTGTGTTAGCAGGGACTAATTGGGCACTCACCGTTCTGCTCCCGCTGTACCCCCGCTGCTAACAGGTCTGGCTCTCCCAAGCTGATGTCGTTGAGACGGCTGCCGAGGCACTCAACACACAGCAGCTTACACCATTCCTCGGCATCCAGCTCTGCACACACAAACACAGCGTTGATGCATGTTAATGATAAAACACAAACACACAAATCCACTCAATAACACTGCATGGATAATAAAACAACCCGTCAAAAATCATACGAACGCAACCATGCTGCCTTTACTGTGTTTGCACATGCACAGGCCCATAAATCACCCAATGAATTTCAGAATATAATGCTGCACATACAGGACATGAGCACAGCAAACAGTATCCAGGGGAGAGAAAAATCTATCTGATCGATTAGGTGTAGAGTAGATTAAAAGAGGAGGTGGATTCTGCGAAAGTCGGCGAGAGATGAATGCTAGTTTTCTCCTCCCCCCTTTGCCAATACTCAATAAAAGTAGCTCTGCTGAAACAATATGACCACAGTCTCAAATGAAACTGGTGATCATCTAGTCCGGCAATCAATAAGCTATTTTCTAAATTAAACGAATGGCTTTAGCTCAAGCTTGAGAATTGGAAAGGAAATGTACTCATGAAATAAAGTAAAGAATATTTCAGCAGAATGAGAAGGCCTTATCTGACTACTTGTCGAAAGTAAAATGACAACTTCTCCTTTTACAAACATAACATCAAATATAAAGTTGACAAGCACCACAAGCTGTTAAGCCCAAGTTAATCAAAAATACTTCAAGATTGAGAAAGCTTCAACGTCTTTATTATGATTGTCAAATTGCTGCTACCAGAGCAGCGCTTACTTAAGCTATTTACCATAAAACTTCAATTATTAGCCTAGCTTTTATTTACTCCAGTCTATGAAATGACCCTGCCTTTATTTGGGACAGACGTCAGCAAGAGACAAGCCTTTAATTATTTTCTAACAAATCTTGTGGACAGCAAAGATGGGAAATATAAGACAATTGTGAATTTACACCAGAAAGAATATTTAATTTTGTACAAAATTAGAATGTTCATAATAAAATCACAAACAGGTGCTGTGTTAGCCTATGAAGCCGTAAACATATCAGAATGTTTTTAGTTGTTTAAGGCATATGTCACAGCATTACAATTTAGCACAAAAGATGGAAAAAAAGATGAAGTTTCATAATCCCAAAATGTATTTCCATCTCTAAATACAGAGTCGACCCTCCTGTCACTCACTGAGGTTTAAATGTCTTTAATCTTTATCCAGATCATCATGCAGGACACTCTGAGAGCACTAATGTTTAATGCGCTTTATTCTGTCTTTCTTGATGTTGAAATTAATCTTTATTTTTTGTCTTTGCAACACTAAATGCATAGAGGCCTTTAATTGAGACCTGCATTTATTTGTCAAAAAGTGATGGCAATACTAGGTTAGTAAAGGGGACTGGGCCTCAAATCGGTATTGGGGTTTTATTAGAAGTTTTATGGTATGTGTTATTTCTTGTAATTTAATGAATACTTGAACCACACCTTATTTGTCACAGGTGTTAGCTTGGCAAACAAGCTGGCCAGGGCTAGCTTAGTTTAGCTTAGCGCAAAGATTGTGAGAGGGGGATATAGCTGCTCTGGCTTCCTCCATTTTTGAAACAATTCTACTTGCCTGCATTAGTTACTGATAAACATGTTATATTGTGTGTGGTTTTTTTTTTTTAATTACAACTAAAGAACAAAATGCTGGGTTTACGGGATGTTAGCCAAGAGCTTAGAAAGAAGCTAGTGGTAAGATATGGATAGCTACGTTTATCTCAGCACCAAGATAGCAGCTGAGGAATACAGCTGGTCTGGCTTTCTCTAATGTTTGAAGAAAACATGCCAGCTCAGCCTGCTGATAAACATGTTATTTCTTAATTGTTTAATCCATAGGCCTACAACAACAAATGCACAATACTCTGGAGTTGTATGGATTGTTAGTTAAGCTAATCCGCTGCTATAGAATTTAGACAAGTGTCAATGTTCTCATAAAACTAGCTGCAAGACAGCAGTCATATCAACATCAGTCTATTCCTTGAAGGTTCATCTGTTAATGTGTAATATTGGGATTTAATCTGGAGAATTATGTTTATTTTCTCTCCTTAAAATTAAAAGAACCACGCTCTCAGTTATATTTGAACAAAGCTGGCCATTAGAGAAGGGAAGGCATTTATCATAAGACTGGATTCTTTCATCGAACGCTAATTGGAGACAAACAAATTCATGTATCAAATATACGAAAGTCTGCGTGGCAGTATGTTGTTTGTGAATACCAAATTGCTTCCTGTTCAGTCAGAAAAAAAAGAGTCTACAGTGTAGATGATTTCCAATAGTCTTGTGTGGGCTTTTGGTTAGAGTTACTGAAGTATGAAATGAGCCAAATGCCGCAGTTGGTTATCTTTGAAGCTCTTTAACTCCAGGCTGGAATTCTGGGATATGAAGCTTACTATGACCAGTGATGCGTACAAAGAGACACATGTGGAAGAGCGGGAACGGCACAATGATTCATTGTCAATTATCTGAAAGTCAGCGTCTGCTTATGTACGGTAATATGTGTGGAGGTAATTTAATTTCCCTTAATTCACTTCAAGCTAGCTTGGGTAATATCTAACAGCCTGTTTGTCAGATCAACTCTGGTGTCCAACGGGACAGATACATACAACTTTGCAGGGTGAAGGAAAGGTCTGCTGCTGCCTGAAGCACTTCATTCACACACATAGAGAGCAGAAATAGAGCCGCACACACACACACATATGCACTCTTACAGGCAGCAGCTCTGCACTATAGCTCTATGCTCATTCCTCTCCAGATTCAGCTCATTTAGGCTCACTATGGCCTTTAAGTGACTCTAAAGTCCCACAATTTTGAGGCCAGTGAGTGGAAAATCAGCTAAACAAACACTTCATCAGCACAGTGGCAGCCGTGATCATCTATGTGCTATGCATAAAGAAATATGTTACCGTGTGGTGATGGTGGTGTGTGATGGAATAGGATGGAGTGTATGAGGATGTAAGAAAACAACAGGATGACGTTAGAGGAAAAGGAGATGTGAGAATTGAATCAGGTGATAGTCAGGAGGATGCTTGTCCTTCCTGATTACAGAAACTGCCGGCGGTTAAACGGACTAATACAATAACGCTGTTTGGACCTAATTCCGCTGTAGAATCTCAGACATTGATGCGATATCAATCTGCAGGTCACACTCTGCTTTTATCTCTGTATTGTGCATGTTTGACGGATGCTCTCAAAGCACACAGCTGTCAAAGAATGTGAAATCTAAAAACAGTCTTTTCTTCAGTTCCTTGTTTCGTTGACAGCACACTAAACATAATGGCACTGCTTGGGTCGAAACATCATTAGGTTATTTTTTAAATAGAATATGAAGGGATATCATAGGCTTAATGACTTTTTTTTTCCTTTTTAAAAAGAAGTCAACACGTTAATAGAATCTGTATTCTATGGCTGGAGTTAGAGTTGTATCCTTGGATGCCCTTAAATACGTTCAACGCTTGTTTTACAACTGCCTGGTGAGGTTTTCAGATCCAAACTCCGAGTGATATTGCACTGTAGCAGAAAGGCTGGATGCCAAATTAGTTCTCATGTAATCTATATTTACAGATTAAACATAAAAATGTAGAATGTGCACTTGGGGGGTCTTCATTTTAGGATAGTGTTCTGTTTTCTGTTTACAGTATGTGGTCCAAGGAGTATTGACCAATCAGGCTTAAGTGTCTGCAGGAGAAACAGTCCATAGATAGCAAAAGCAGGTGGAACTCATCAGTGTTAATCCAACAATGACTCAATTATCTCTTTAAACGGATATCTGCATGCATGTGAAGACAATAATCCACTAGAAGCCATCATTCCACCGGAAATGTCAACTTCATGCCTAAAACCGTGTCCTAACAGCACGCGACGCGAGCGAGCGAGCTGTTAGGACGCGGTGTAGTGCTGTGTTGCAAAAACCAATGGTTCAACTTTCCTGACTTTCTTCTGAATGCATTAAACAATTATCAAAAAAAAACTCCATTCAACAAACAAGCATTTATAAAGTTGTTTTCAGAGTTCAGACCTGAAATAGCCTGTGTTTTTACTTTTTTGCAAATCTGCATCATGCTGCTGTTTTATTGAGACAGAAAAGGAAGTCCGCTGGCTAAACCGGAATTAACGAGAAGTTGGCCATAATTCCCAGAGGTGTAGATCGTTGTCAGATGATAGCTGATGGCTTCTAAGATTGACTCTCATGTAACCTGAACCAGCTGGACCAGGCCAATGTAGCTTTCAAAAATAGTTTTACTACAATATATAAGAAAAAAATCAATTACAATTTTCTCCCTGGACCTGAACATAATTAAATAAGCCACATTAATATCACATATTTGTTATGCTGTATTCAATAGTGGTGAATAAGGGGTGTAAATGTGAGTGTTTCAGGAAGTGTAGGACTATGGGAGGTCTGTGGACACACAGTGATAAAGACATGCGTGTGATGGTGTGAGGGGGAAGGCTTTAGGAATGGAATAAAGTCAAGAGAGAGAGAGGGGAAGGAAGAAAGAAGTGAGTGATCATGGGAAACGGCGTAAAGGCAAGAGAGAGTTCACTGCTTTTAGTTCAATAATATTTCCCCTGAGCTTTCCTGCTACTCTCCATCAAAAGATATTTGATCCTATGTCGGCACACATCCACAAGGCCGGAGTCGAGACAGAGATCTTCATCTTTTTCTGTTTAAAGGATGCAAAGGCATAATTTTGCATCTGGCCTCCTCTAAACATCCAGCTCCATCTGAAGAACACACCACCCATGTGCAGATCATGCACCTCTTTAGCTTCCTGTCCACGTATTAGAGGCAATCTCTATTGTTACAGTCTATAATTGGGTTGAAACACACTGCAAACGATGCCCAATATCATTTTTCATACCTGCAGTATGAAAATCAATATTTCGGAACAGATCCTCCCACTTCTTAATATAGCGGCAAATGAGCATCACTTGGCTCATCTCCAATTCTCTGCTGCCTCTTTCACCTCTCACTTTCTCTTTCTGCCTCTCACTTCTGACTCTTCCTCCGCTTCGTGAAAAACTTTCCTCAAACCACCCCTTCACTTTTCATTTGCATGTAAAAAAAAAAAAAAATTAAAAAATAATGCCTTCCACCCTCCACTTCAGCCGAGAAAGATGAATTTTGAATTTTGAATGGGAGGGAGGAAAGGCACTTACCCGATTCACAGGCAAATGTCTTGGATGTTTCGTCACAGAAGATGATGGCCACAGCGTGCTTTTTTGTCTCCCGCGGCATTCGGGTAATGTTCTTGATGTTATGGAGCTCAGTGATCTAGGAAGGGGAGAGTGGCAGAGAGCACATTAGCTTGAGTGAACAGAGGCAGCAGGAGCAGGAGCAGCAGTAGGGCTTAAGTGCCATCTTGCACTGCTTCGCTGAAAGTGCAATAGTAGTTAGAGGCTTAGCATATATAACAGGGCCAAGTCAAATAGAAATGTGGGTGATCTTTGGGGATAAATAAATAATAGAAGTTTTCCTGATGATTACAAAAAGCTCTTCACAGCTACAATGTCTGCTCCTTCGACCAGCTGCGATACAATATGAAGCATGCGATGTATTGCTATTTATTGTAAAAGCACTCCATGAGTAAATGTGGCCTGGTACTCATTCTGTACAGCACTGCATCCTCTGCTCAAGCGCTCTCCTTCAGCCTGCTGTTTCAGTCAATAGAGAGGAGTGAGATCAAAAGCATCTAAATCACTATACCACGAGATTGATCGTGAATGGGAAAAAAAAGAAGATTACATTTAATTGAATATCACCTGCATTTACAGGCCATTTTGTTCCCTGTGTTCACTCTGCCTTGGAGATAAGGCCCATTACATTATTGTAGTCCATTGTGCGCTAACTGTGGGCCCTTTGCCAGGCTGTTGGGAATGAATTATCTGGGCTCACTGCCCGTGTAGTAAAGCTGAACTGTATGAGGTTAAAAGAGCAGACCTAATAACACAGTCAACATATGTGGAATACAGATTTCTTTGTTCGATAACGTTATATGTAATAAATTCAACCTCTATCTGATATTACCTGCTCAGCATTCAACATACACAGAGAGCGGGATCAAACAAAAAGGATATCAGAATTCATGCAAGGCAATGGGGGAAAAAAGACCAGGAAAAGGAAGTTATGGCTAGATAGCCGATCTTTTTTTTATTTGTTATTTCTATCCTCCAGAAAGATACTATCTTAATATTTCATATGAAACCAGGTTATGTTTTCCTCCTGTGAAGACAGTATATATTTGTCCGCAGGCGGGCTATTCATACATTTAACTGACACTTAGAAAGCCTCAACCGTGGGAATTTCTGAGCTGTGAATTCCACCAGCCTCTTATCTCTTTCTCTGTTTGTGTATATGTGTGCATGTTTCAGTCTCTCTTCATGTCTATATATGTGTGTGTGTGTGTGTGTGTGTGTGTGTGTGTGTGTGTGTGTGTGTGTGTGTGTAGCTGTGTGTCTAAGGGGAGAGGGTTTGGGTGCATTCCCAGCCCAAGGCGCAAGAGTCCAAGCAAAGTGAATCATCAGTGATGAGGCCTATTCCTCATCTACTCTCCTCTACTTTCTTTTCATGTATTCAAAGTTGTGAGTTAAATCCAATATTAAGAAGACTAAAAGTTCACTGCTACGCTCGCAGCTTTTTGATGCCGTGCCAGCAGAGGTTGGCCAATATGTTTAACAGTCAGCTGGTTAAATGAATCAAATTGACAATGCAAATGTGATCATGTTTAGAAGGTATAATGTTGACCATGTTCACTCTCTGAGTTTAGCACGCTAACATTTGCTTGCTTGCTTAAAACCATCAGCACATGGAAATGTCATTAGTTTGGCAAGTATTGAGTGGCTTTGTGAGGCTTTTCTGTGGCAGAAACACCAGCATGCTAAAAAGGTTTAAAACCACAATGCTAGCATGCTAATGGTCAGCAGATATAAACTACTACAACAGGCTGTTCACTCTCTCAGGCTAACAGTAATATTATTGACAAGAATTTAATTTTAAACCATGATAACGGACAAGCTGGGAGATGAAAGTTAAGACTGCAAACTTCTAAAGGGCACATGAATGTCTGAAAGCCTTTTATAGATGTTGACACATCATGGGGAGAGTACATGTCAGTACAAAATTTAAATCTCTCCAACTGTGGTAAGAAATATATTTCCCTCTATACCAAAGTGTTAGACTAACCCAACCAACAGTGTGTGACCAAGACCAACCTGTAACCTTTGAAGCTGAAAAGTGAAGTGAACACCAATCTTCCAAAAATTGCAATTTCTTGACTGGCTGCTTTAGCTGGCTTTAAAAAAAACTCTACATATAAGCCTATACAGAAATAAAATAAAATAAACTTTACAGCAGAAAACAATATGTCTATAGATTGGTATTGGTAGCCCGATGTGTATTAGTAGTGCATTATCCCTTTTTATTTCATGGAGTTGAATACTTGTTCAGTTCGTGTTGTTTTTCTCAGTTTCTCTTTAAACTTTGATACAGTGCAAGTGAGCAGTGAGTGTGCCAATTTCTGTTCGACAAGCTTTCTCAGCTGTTTTAGACCTATACAGTATATGTTGACATGTATATTAACAACTCTAGGCAGTTATAACATGAAAAACAATATTTTGCTGAGGGGAAACACTGTTGCAAACTCTGTCATCAGCCAGCTTAGCATAACTTTATTTCTCGCCAGCTCCAGCCTTTTGTCCAAGTCACTTTTGGCTCCAAAAAAAAACCACACTGAAAAAAAACTTGAGGCATTAAATCAGACGATTACATTCCAATCGGTAAAGTCAAGATGGCTACATCCAGAGTTTTATACAGTCTATGGCATGAGCTAAAAAATGTCTTAGCTTTTCCAGTTATTTCCACTTTTTGGACTTGTTATATTTAGGCCATTTAAATACAGCTCCATCTTTTCACTTTATCTGCCTCTGCCAGGAGCTCAGGAAAACTCTAGATATGTAGCACACAGAAAAACAACTTTTCACAGGGCTAAAAATAATGCTAAAAATTATTCAGGGATTGTCTTACTGTGTGGACCAGTGCGTGTCAGAAAGAGAGAAAGGCATAAGAAAAGACAGAGTGGGGGTGAGGGGGATATTGAAAGAGAAAGAAAAAAAAAAGTCAATCCCCATTGTGTTGATTCTGTAAATCAGCCACCATTGCAGCCTATTTCCTCCTAAAGCACTGCAGCGTTGAATGAAGCCCTCAGACGGGACCTTTCTTGATCTTTGTGGCGATGCATTACCAGGTGCACTGGTGCATATGCGCACTCATCGCTCACTCCAGCGCCTGCTGTATGAGATGCCTCTGAGAGGGGGGTTACAGCCACACTGGGTGCCTCGAGTGACAGCATGATGCAGTGGGCAGGGAGACGCTTCATTCACAATACATGGGTGATACTGAAGCAGCAAGCGTTGCAAGTAGCATCTACCTAGCTTGTACTTGAAAGTGTACTGTAATATGAAAAACTGAAAAAGACTCCACAGAGTGTGAGAAATCCCCAGCCTAATTTATAATCACATGGTTACTAAATCAGCTCTCAAACTGCAGTCACGTATCGGAAACCTGGTGTCAAAATCCCATATCAGTCGCTGTTATCTCCTCTCATTACTGTAAAACCCTGTTCACACAGCTACTCCTTTCACTTCATCTCCTCTAACCATGATAATGAGCCTTAATTGGAGTGTTTCAAATGGCTTAAAAGGTAGAGAAAGATGTTTTATAGTCTGGATTATTACTTTAGCAAGGGAGGGGGAGAAGGCCCCAGAGGAAAGGATAAAGTGGCAAAAAGTGTCTTCATAGATCCTCTATCTTCTGTAACCAACGGATACAACTTTTCATATGGGGGCGAAAACAAGGTTCTTGGAAGCGGTGTGTATTACAGTTCAGTGCTCAGTGATAGTATTTATTCTATACGGTACATTTTTAAACTTCTCTTCTTCATACAAGAATCCACCAACTTAAGTTACCGAATGTTATCATTGAGTACAGTTTCAAAGTATTACTTTTAATCTTAGTCATGACCAGATATAATCTCCTAACAGAAGCTTTAATTACACAAGTTCTCTAATTTGCAAAACAGGCGCTGTCTCATAAATAAATGAATAAATCAACCAGAGACTATTCTTTAAGAAAAGACAAACACTTATGATCCTTTTGGGACCATGCATATCTGCAGGAGATCTAATATGAATAGGTGTTGTATTAGCCTAATATCAGGCTTTAGTATTGCCCAGCTTGAATGGCTGTCTGGTGGTGATGTTCTATAAAAGATCAGTGAGACCAAATCTTTAGCAATTAAACTCCAGACATTATAAGTATTGATTTATTTTTTCTGGTCACTTCATCTTGTCTTATTGTGATGGACCAAAGGTCTGACTGACATCAGTTTCTTTTTGCCTGAACAATGTCAACACAAATGTAGATTTACCACATTGCTGGTGAATAATGACATACTATATATACTATAATCGAGTATAATACAGTGTCATCTATATCCATACAGCTCCAGAAACAACCTTTATAGACTTTATTTTTTTCCTTTTTGAGGCGTTGTGTAAACTTTGATTTTAGAAGGATTTTCTCAATTTTTATTTGCTTATGCTGCACTATACTTAAAGTAAAATCTTAATTGTTTTTTAAATTTATTTCCATTTATGATTTCAACATGTACGGCTGGGAAATGTTAATTGCATTTCACTTTATTTTCACACATTTCATCGGTTGATAATTGTATTAACTGAGACAATAATTGGGAGGTTCAGAAATAATATATTACATTTTCTTATAGATCAACTGATTAAATATTAGACAAATATTTTCACCTCTTATATTGCTGTCACTTTAAAGCCGTTTGTTTGTTTTTCAGCTCTGTGTTTACCTTGTTGAAGCTCCTGAAGTACGCCGCCTTTTCGTCCGGGTACTTCTCTAAACGTCGGGGTCCTTTACTGGACGCCTTCTTGAACACCAGCCAACACCTCCGGAATATCTGACAACAGAGAGAGATAGCAACCCTGTTACTGAAGAACAACCCCAAAAACCACAGAAAGACATCGAGGTAATCAAAGATACAAACTAAAGCAAAACACAGACTGTCAGGACAGGTTGATTTAACCACAACAAATGGACACATAGGACTCAACATGACAGCACATTAACAGCACAGACAAATCTGCTCTGATTTAACAAAAGCAGGGGGAAGAGAAATCAATGCAAACTGTGAGAATTCATGTGTGTATTAACCATTAAAACCATTCAAAAAATTTAAAGTAAAATCTCCAAACAGAGAAGTGAGAAAAGTAAATCAAACCATCACACCTCATTGATCAAACGCCTCTTAATAAAACTAAATGGGATGTATTTCATTCAAATGTTATTATCTCATGCCGTATACCTTCATTTATTTACTGTAGTTATCAGAAAGGTCTGTTTAGGACAGATGATTCTATTATCATAAGGAGTCACTGATTTCATTATAGTTTTATCTCATTATTGGCTCAGTGGACGTGAATAAAATCAATTTTCATACTTTGGTGAGTTGAAGAATTAAAAAAAAAAATCATTTAGCAGCCATGTTAATCAGAAAAACATATGAATATACCATAGCAAGGTAAAGTGTTGGCACGCTATCTTACACTTAATTCAAACTTTTAGTGTTAATGACTACAAATGTAACTTTTTTCAAAGATCTGTGAATGGCAGAATCCTAAAAAGCGTTCTTTCTGAATCTTATAACTCAAAGTCAATTCAACCAAAAAAATGCCTAACAGGCTACAGTATGTTCAATACAATTCAAATTAACTTGGGTCAGTGAATTTGATCAGTTTAAGGATTTCCTTCAAGTTGGCAATTATCTCCCTTAATTCTGGATCTTTAATTTGTTCAGTGATTCATTCCTTTGTCTTCCAGTATGTCTGTTAATTGACTAGTTTATAGTGTGCTGGGCACTCACACTTGCCATCCCATGAGTCTGAGGGAATCCCCTCAGTGCTGGGTCAGGTGTGTGTATTTAAGACCAGGTGTAGGAAGCCTTCATATCAACCCTATGGGTTCCAGAGCTCTGTGATGACTCACTGGTTATGTCTGAAACACACACTCATTACCTACCACTTGCTCCCTACTCCCTTCATAGGGAGTTCTCTTTAGTAGACTATATAGTGCACTAATTTGTCACAATAAAAAATAAACTTTTCAGACACTACTGACTCTCTCACCCAGTGCTATCAGAGGCAGTGGCAGGTTAATTCATTGTTTTGCTCTTGTTGAAGGTATGCAAGTCTACAGAAGCACCACAAGAACATGTTTGCATGATTTCCTCACCATTCAGTTTCGCCGTGTGTTCGTGTGTATGTTGGTACTGGATACCCCCCCACCCCCACCCCCACCCCCAACCAATCACTTGCAATGCTTGTTGTAATCCCTCTTGGATAACTAAGGAACTCCCAGTCCGCATTTCGAGTCCCAATCCTCCTAAACCTCATGACACAAAAGGACAGATACAGGCTCCAGCTTCAAGCGTTAAGCTGAATTTCAGAATATGTACAGTATTTTCAAATACAGCCAAATTACTCTTAAAAACTGCACGGCGATTCGATCTTAAGAACTTAATAACTGAGTTTCAGCCTGGTGTAATGCGCTTCCTTTTATGAAGGCTGTGAAGAGGACTACTGATCTGTTTCGTTTTCTTGCAACACAATGTGAACACACACCTACACACACATACACAAACTGTCTCCGTGTGTGGTGCAGCAGATTACTGTGCATTGTATTGATTACTGGACCACAGCCTGGCCCATCTGCATGCTGAAGATGACACGAACACATCTGACTAGTTCAAGGTCAAATCATTAAAGGGCTACATGAACAAAGACAAACACGCATACAAAATACTTAGATGAACACACAAACCACTAACCACAAAAAAAAGGATTTCTTATCTCTTCTCGCAGATGAACTACATTCAGAAATATGTGTGTATGTTTCTTAGCACCTTAATGTTGTCATCTAACAGCATGGTATGGCAATTTAAGATCTGAAATGATTTCTGCTTTTATAACATTTCAAGCAATTCAAATAGTTTTTCCAACTGTTTTCTTTTTGCTCTAAACCCCACATTTTGAAAAACATGACTTTCCTTGGCCAGCAACATCGCTGAGGATCGATTTTTAAGAGCTTTTGATATCATTAAATCTGCTCCATTATATAATTCCACAGCTGCACTCATAAAGCATTTGGAAAAGCCAGAATTTAAAAAGAACATATGACAAACTTTCTCACAAAGGCTGTATCAAGATGTTAAAAGCCAATATAGACAGAGCAGTGCAGTGGAGAAGCAGAGGAAGTGTGATGGGATGGACAATAGGTTATGAGTCCTATGTGGCTGCCTATCTCTAATAATGGGATCCTTCTATTTCCTGCTGGAGACAGGCGCTATCACTCTGTCTGATGTATGATTGCCCTGGGCCTCATGGTTGTGTTAGGGAACCATGGATGTACGATTAATTTGTTTACTCATCTGGTGTACTTCATAAAAGGCCCACAGAGTTGAACTTGGCACTTTGCAGTAATTGACTAGAGTGGATCCCTAGGTCCTTATCGGTCTGCCTTGATGGGCTTGCATTCTAGTTAAGTGTTGCTGAGGCCCATTATAAACAGCAAGCAACACAAAATAGACCGCTACACACTCTCTAATGCACCGTGGATCATTCTCGGACCGTCTGTGAAATGCTTTCACAAAGTACGGAAACAAGAGATATGTGATAAAATCTTACAGAATTTATTACAATAATGACACACTTACAAATCATGAATCAAAACTGCAGCCTAGACAGAAATAAAAGCATACATGTGCATCCATTTTTTCAATGACCATTATCACATTTCCGGCTATCAAACCCAAAAATTAAAGCTAGCCTCAATTCCACTTTGGGAGCTTGAGTCAAAGCTATGCTGCCTGCTTGCTGCACACAAAGTAATCCACCCTAGGAGTGCTCAGATTAAGTAATTATACCAGCACAAAAGCAAGCTCAGTGAGATAGCTTATGCATAATAAGAACTAGGGGGTATGAATGGAGAGGGCTTAATTTTGCCTGTTCCATGGTTGTCAATGCTTTGTCAAGGCGGTTCTATTCTCTGGCTGCTGGTGGGTCCGATTCAGAAACACTCATACACTGATTGTAATTATACAGGCGTGAATGAGACTCTCTGATGGTTTGGTGCAACTTATTTAATGCCAGAGCAGAGTATAAAACACTATTTGGCACTGAAAATCAAGTCACAAGTTACAGGAGAAAACAGAGATGTGTTTTTACTTTTAGATGTCATCTGATACCGTCTGAAAGCAGTCCCCACCTCAAACCATCCTGTGAGTTACCTTTGGCCAATCAGGTAAGCATTCCAAAGCTTTATCTCCAGAATTAAATATCCAAGGCATAAAGCAAACAACAAATAAAAATGGATTTGGAAGGTTTACATAGGCAAAATGGCAGGATTGTGGCCAAAACCGATGCTGCCTTTGGCTTTGATTACGGCAATGTGCAGAGGCTGGCCAGCCGACCTTTTCCTCCACAGCCTCTGTTATTCTGTTTCCTCCACAACTCGTCCAAATTGTCCTGTGATTGTTTTTTTCAATATTAGGTCCTTTTGGACCTTGAATGTTTGATTTACATCCATCCACAACTTCCTGTTTTTAGAATTGGTCTACTCCCATTTCTACTTATAGTCATTCAAATCAATTATTTTAATCAAGTAAGACACATGTAAAGCTCCCAAGAATGCAGACAAATAAAGGCATCATCAATAAAATTGACTTTTAGAATCGTGTAATGGACCCTGTAAATAGTAGCCTATCAGCGCAGTCCTTGGGGATTTGGGGGAACTGCAGCCCGAGCACTGACAGTGGTGGTGTGTAGGAAAAGGACAGACCGGCACAGCAACAAAACCACAAGACCGCAATGACAACAGGGAAACTCAACGGGTATAGTGGTTTAAAAGTTTGAGTTATGATAGTCATTGGTCCTATTTAAATTATGAAATCATAATTTAGGTGTGTTACTGACTAAATAAGGACTCTAAAAGCTTGCTTGAAAATGGAAAAAGATTATATTTTTTGGGCGAACTACAATTGTCATGTCTGCTAAAAACAATGCCATATTTTGTGTAACTCATGGAGATAAAATGTAACACTGGCTGGCTGAAAAAAGTTGATTTGTTGAAAATCCAAACAGGTCTCAAGGTATGTTACAAGTGAAAGTTAATATCAGGGCATCCTGCAAGTGTCCTAGGGGTAGGTGTGATATAATTACATTTCATGGCCGGCTCCTCTCCTCGATATCTTTACTGCCAGACGGACACATAGGAGACGAGCTAGCGTGACTTTTTGAAATTTTCCAAAAAATTGATTATTAACTGTTTGAAGTGCAGAACACAGATCACATGTTGCCATAAATGGTCTTTTGGCACAAGCTTCTCCATCTGGTATGGAAGCCTTTACTGACTTTGTGTGACCGTGAATGTATACTTATCTGCTTGTGGAGGTCTGAGAATACACATGATGGACTCTAAATGAATCAATTGGAATCTACAAATTACAAGCAGCTAAAGATTGATTTTGCCATGTGTATTTTCTAATTAAGCAACTTCTAAGCAGGGGTCTATTTCTTGGAATTAAATGAACTCTTAAGGAGCTTTTCCATAGGCCTAGTTGCTAATTCTGACGAATGAGTAAAATGCTTCTTAGACAAGAGCGCTGTCTCATATGCACTCGCACACATCCTCCATTCAGCACACGTACAACTTCCACCTTCTCAGCACTTCTTTATAATGAAGGGTCAAATATAGCCTCAAAATGTAAGTCTCTTGAAAACCAAATAATTCATTTGATCCACTGATTAAAATGCTACTTTCAGTGCAGGGAAGTACCAGCAGGTCAGGAGGATCGCAAAAAATGAGGAACCTTACGTCAAGATTAAAATAAATACTTTTATTGTG